ATCATCTAAACTTAGATTTTGATAATTATTCGGGTTGCCTTTATATTTAAAATTAAAAAAATAAGATAAGTATAAGTACTACACAGATAGATTGGTATATGAAATAAATTTTGTTTTTAATCCATATAACTTTAAATACAATAAAATAAAAAATTTAAATGATGTGTCAACAAGATTCTTCTGTACAAATTACATGATTTATACCCATTACAGCCAGTATTCCAAGACTGCAAAGTGTGAATTGCAAAAAACACATCAAAATATACAAAATTGCCAATTTTCAACACTCCCGGAAAACTAATCTCCATGTTTTCGCCTTCATGATCGAACTTGAAACCTTCTTGAAACTATTTATCACTTTTATTACAAAGTGTACCCCAAAAATATGCTTTTTTAATTCTGTCTAATGCTATTGTGATTAGACTTTAGGTTTAGTCAACCCTGTGTGCGCACATGACACGGTTGACGCGATGACGCGAATGACGCGTCTCTGGTCTATTTACAGCATGCCCGCTCTTGACTCTTCACTTGTTTGTTTTTCACGATCGTTTAGGATTCCCTAACTAATTGCTCGAACAAATTATTTGTACACACTGAATTGTAACTAAAACTATTTATTCACTTGAACGTAATATTATTGAAGATTATTTTTAGTTCAGATACATTTATACGGACCTTTTTTATCAGATGGCCAATATTGGGCAAACTGACTAACCAAATGCTTCATTGACCAAGAGTTTAAGCGCGACTGCTAAGCAAGGGTTCTCAGATTTGATTTCTGCGTCGGGTTCGTTCGGGTTCAGAATGATAGGAAGTTTAGAAAATTTTCGATAATACACCGATTCAAGAATTGTGTACCTACACCATATTCACCATACGGTGTTGTTACAGTACTTAAGGTTAATATGTATATTATGTGCGACTTTTGAAATAGATAAAATAAATATTAGCTCCTGTATAAAGTTAAACGAACACGTGTCCAAGTGTTGTTGGTGTTAACAACCGCCTGTTCTAGTGACCCCCTCACTCCGTCTTGTTGTGTCTACGCTGCAGTCGCGTCTGGCGCTTCACAGAACTTTAAAAACAAAAGAACCTACATTTTTACCCCTCAAGGATCCTTGTCTACAACCCCTCTTCAGCTCTCGACCTGGTTTTCTTTCGGGACTTCAGACTGTAACACAAAACCTACTTTATAATTTCGTAATTAAGTTGAAAATATAATGATGAAATTTCTCAGACTGGTATAGCTGGACTTGGTGTGAGAAGTAAAATATATAATAATAGAATTAATGGAATCGTGAACAAATATTACTTACTTGATATGTACAGCACGTTCGTTTCGTTTTATTGAAACAAATTAATATGCAATACTAGTGCGTTGGTTCCTGAAACTCCCGTGTGTTTGAATACCTTTATGTGCTATTGAAGTTGAAGGCTTTGGGACCGTGGCGACAGGCTGGAACCATTTAAACTTAGACAACTGCTGTATTATATCCCAATTTAGAAGACCAAACTACAAACCACGTATTTGTCTATTTATTTTGTATCTTTGAAATTAGTCCGTTAGACACACATGACGTCATAACTCAAAAATTCGTCATAACCTAAAAAGTTTGGCCTGTGTATGCATGTTTGTACGCGATTATCTCGCGATAGGCTGAACCGATTTTAATGGGGTTTTCAGAAAAGTGTTTGCTGAACTTAGGAGAAGGTTTTAGTTTATATAAGCGACTTTAAAAAAAAAGAGGTTGAGGTCGGTTTTTTAAACGTAGTTTATAAGAGAATTGTTTTTATATGGTAAGACGATAAATTAGTTCATAAGTATTGAGAATCCTAACCCCTGATCGACAGTGCGATAAAAACATACAACGCATGCCTACATTTTATCCGCTATATATTTTTTGTCGCAATTTCTCACACCCACACAATCGCAGCCGGATCTCGGCACCAAATTGTGGCGCCAACGTTGACGGAACAGTCCAGTATTTTAAACATAATATAATAATATATCCACGTGATGTGGAGCGCTTCTGCAAGTTTCAATTTGTTATAATCGGTTTTTGAAACTGCTAGATCATCTTTTAATAATATATGTTCCTAGGTTTTAAGATAATTCGAACTGATATTTTGCAGCTATTTAGGATACCTAGTAACATTTTTTCAATTATCTTGGTTCCTTCAATAATTCCTTTATTTTAATTTTAAATATCCAATTCACTGTTTGTGTGACACGGCGCTCTGTAGATGTTATCAATACTCTAGAATACAAAGATACAAGCAACATGCTTCTACGACGCGGAGTCAACGTCCTCGCTCGCCACACTAAAATCATATTCGAATATATTTACATTTCTCCCAAGGTGCTTTACTGCCAGTACTGAAGTCTGAGAACCGGTCAAGCGCGCTCCGGACATTAACGCGAGCCATATATCAATTTATACTTTCGTGGTTTCATTAAAATGGTAACATCACACCGTCCCGTTTAAGAAATTTCTCGATGATTTTTTTTCTATTAACTTACAAAAATATGAAGTTCTGGTCAATATTCACACGCTCATGTCGTTTCTTATAATCCTTGAACTATCAGTTTAATTGTTTCAACGACACCCACTTCTCACAAATGTAAATTGTCCCACAAAAATACTAAAGTACTAAAAATACTAAGTAGAAACTACGGTCGAATACAAACTTCGCGCTACTGTTCGAAACGTCTCCAAAATCAAAGATCTATTCTAATAATTGCCCGGCCCTCTTGCTCGAGAGACAAGTGGACTGGACGCCATGAACTGGCGACCACTCAATAAATCAGTACACATAAACCTCTTCAGTCCAATATATTGAAATTCAAAGCTTGTATTCATTATCTCAGTCGGAAGGCGTTCAATCAAACCTCATAGACGACTACTTAATACGCGATAGTTGCGCATACGCCGATCAGCCCAACCAATGAGGTGGCTACATTAATTCTATGTTCAAATCTCTTGAACGTTCATTGTCGCTTGCATTGATTAAGTTAATGGGTCCAGCAGCAATTTAAAAGTAGTACTTATTCAAATTGTTTGAAACTATCCTTTGTTGCAAGGGTTTAAGGTTTATTTTTATGAGATGGTATGGAAAATAAATAACAACTTTATTTGAGATCAGATAATAACGTAATGCGATTATTCCGTAAATAAAATAATTTAAACTTAGAACACTGATTGCTTTAATTAAAATCAACCACAACCACATAACAAATTCCTTAAGAATCGCCTGATAAATAATCAAATAATCTAGACATCTATTCGCTCGTGGATGTCAGCTGATTAAACAACATAATATATGTATGTTATGTACCCAGTAGTCATAAAACTCGTCAGCTTAATAATAAGGCACCTCGTGCAACACAATAATTAGTTCTGCATTGATTTATTTTGAACAAACTAACGGTCGATTACGTAACTGTCTGAAAATGTGATGCACTATGACTAAACAGTGTAACGCAACCTACACTGAGAATTGTAGACAGTAACATAACATCACGCCTTTTTACCACCCCCAAGGGTTAGGCAGAGCTGCACATTACGGCACTTAATGCCATTGTATAATGTAACACCCACTTTTCACTGTTTATGTTTTGCGTCCCATGTAATAGGGGGTGTAATTCCAGATTCCGTGCTACAACTAATTTTTTTTTTTTTAAAACCCATTAATACTCGGCCAACGAGGCAGTCAAATGTAGACAGTATATATAAAAAATCTATAAGTAAATAATTATGTTGTTGTGAAGTTAAAAGGAAGACGAATACAACTTTAAAATTATTGGAAAGTATTTTAAATTGGTCTTTAATTTAATCTCCACTTTCTGTTACAAGTAAAATTAGCAAATTCAATATATTATTTAAATGTTAGTAACGAGTCGTAATTTAAATCATTACTTTACTATTTGTAGAATGTTAATAATATTAAATTCTAGTAATTTATTTGGCCCACTCACTTGTGACTGAAACCGCAAGCTGAATTTTTAATTAAAACAAGAGTTAGTTGAAATACAGGTTGAGTTATTTGACAGTCCACGCCATCAATCAAGGTTACAACATTCTTAGAAGACGGTTTCTCACGACAAATTGATTTTCACGAGCATCTCTCATCGGTACATTCCTGTCTGTCGCCAAGTTGCCACAAGTTAATAAAACTTATCGAGAATATCATCCAAATTATAATCAAAGTGAGACGTCGTCTAACCGCACCAATATCTGAAGATATCGTGATCAATCAAAACTGTGAACATGTTACTAGGTCCTCATCGATCAACATGTAAAGTTCCATTTTATAAACTTGGTCCTAACATCGATATTTTCGAACGAATAGTTGTAAAAAGTCAATCGATTACTAGTTATAGGCATGTCGGGTTGTGGTCGGTCGGTCGCGACTCGCGGCGTGGCGCACATTGAAAAATAGTGTCTGGCAGTCGTCTAGCGCGGCGCGGGCGCACGCAGCCGAGCCCCGTGACTCACGCGCAGGAATCCGACCGAATACGGCGCTCCAAGCTAGCCGCTCGCAGCATCCAGACATCTGTTCAATTTATGTTTAGTCTGGACCCGAACCGAGCGTTTTATTATGTTATGCTTTCAAACTCCAATATTTTAATGTTCAGTTAAAGAAGATTTTAGGTGCATTAGATTCATCAAGATGGAAATACGAGTTTATACCCAAACGTCTGTGCATTTTACGTAAATTCAAAGGGCTTAATATAATTTTATAAGGGCAAAGATAGACAGAATATTTCAAAATAAGTAGTTTGTGCTTTTCACAAATAGAAACTTGCTATTTGTCTACAAGCACAGCTACTACGGTCAATATAGTATACTACTAATCCAATCGACTGCGATTACCCACGGAACTTTATTCCCTACTAGCACCTCTAGCCATCATCACTACTTTGTACACATATTTTACACAAACAAAATCATAAAATAAATTAATTATTAAACATTAAACATGCGTGTTTTCTGTCGTAGCCGGGATCTGCTGGACGGGGATGGATCGCGGCGGGCGCTGCAGCTCGGTGGCAGCGCTGCGCGTGGGCCGGGCGGAGTGTTGCGCAGGCGCATCGCGCGCGCCTGCCGCCTGGAGCCCCCGCGACCTCGACAGCGGCGAGATATTCTTTTATAAGGCGCTCTCTGGAGGCGTGCCTTGTGTTGCATGTGCTGGTGAGTAAACAGACCTTTCTCTTAAACTTTATCTTAATTTTATAATGACATTATACTAGATTTGTATGTAGAATCGTAAGAAAATTAACATCTTATACGTTCTTTGGAAATGCAATGAGAACTTACCAGTAAAACATGTTTCTTGTTTACTCTCTAAATACTTTCCTATCCTGCATCGTCCGTAGATGTAAACACATCCTAATACAGGAAGTTCACTACTGAGCCGTTTGAGGACAAATACTTACTTTAATTCCTAGTACACACAGATATAACACAGAGTCTTAATTCCTTGACTTGCTAGAATAACTGAAATAAGTAAATCTCAAGGCTTTGACTACATCAGAAAACAAATCCTCCGGTAACGTCGGACATCGATGACCCCCATGGCGTTTAATGTGTTCACAATGTCATCGTTCTACTGAACATAACATAACAATATTATGACATCAGATTTTTTTTATCCTGTCAACCATCCACTTTTCACCAATTATGTTACTTTTCACCATTAATAAGTATCCAAAACACAACAAATTGAATACCCCACTAAAAAAATGTCGGTACCAATAAATATTTAAATTTAATTTAATGTTTTCTCACAATCACTGGCGTCAATTCGTCGAAGCTTCCTCAGTTAATTAAGAATATGGCCACATCCTTCCGGGCCAGTGTTTCTAGGAAAAGTATGGAAGTTATGGGACACAATTAGAATTCAAAGAAGACATTGTTTTTGTAGTAATTTGAGCTGACAATGACGTCAGCTAATAAATCTAGGCGGCTCAGTTTAACTCGTCGAGTACCGGTTTTATAGACACAATTAAAGAACAATAGGTCGCGGTCACCGGTGACCGCTTGGTGTTTGACAGTTTAAGACACGACTGAATATAGTGACTTTGTTGTTAGTATATTAGGTATAGACCACTAGATTAGACTAGATTCACTGTATATAAATTCAACAAATATTGAAATTCTGATTTCTGTATAAGAACAAATTAATTAGAAGTTCAATGAGATTGAACGAAAAACAAATAGACACACATTCACTATTAAATTAATGACATTAGATATTGTTGAAGGTAATTCTATCAAGAGCAGAGCGGATTCTTTAGGGAGTTACAGACACTATGTTATGCATTTTTTACTAACACTAAGTACTAGTTTAAACAAGTAATTTTACCTCTATATTCGCATAGTCTAATCCATCAATTTAATCTAATCTAAAAATGTATTGAAACACCCCAATTGATTCACTAGCGAGATAAAAGACAGACGCGTACGGCCTAATAACATCGATCAACAAAAAAAAGACAAGAAGACAACTATGCAAGTAGGCATGTGCCCAAGCTAAACAATATGATACACACATCAAGCTATGCACTACTAGTGTATCATGGTCTAACTTTGTATGATCTTTGCGCACAGTCAGCGGTTTTATACTGGTTTTGCATAGCTTAATGTATGCACGCACATCTTTGAACAAATAACAAAATTGGGCCGGGTCGGGTGCATCGCCCGATAGATGAACACTGCGCATCCAATCTCTTCATGATTCGCTGCTGGGATGTTGGCAAAACGTCAAATATTTGATTTTAGAAATAAACAAATAATTTCTCAAATAAATGAATTGTTTTGGCAGAGAATGAAAGAGTAGTTATGTAAGGACATTTGTCGTTCAGTGCACATTATTATGTACCTGCAAATATATAGTACATACTGTCCTACAAAATCTTGGACGCCTTGAAAGAATTACTCAACTCATATTATAAATTGTATTAACTACTATCTGCCCGCGACTTCGTACGCGCAATCTCGTTTTCTCCCGTTCCCGTAGGATTTTCAGGTCTTTTTTTCTACCATAAGAACCTTCTCCTGACAATAATAAACACAATAAAAAAAATCAGCCGATTCGATCTAGTCATTCTCAAGTTATGGCGTGACAATGGGAAACGAGTTTGATTTTTATATATATAGATATTATACATAACAAAATATCGCGCCCTATTTTTTCGCGAAGGAAAATCAACCAATGACTTCTTTGTGCCTTGGGTGAGGCAAGAGAGAGTGTCAAATTTTTACTGACTTAAAACAACACAGTTGATAGTCCTGCTGTAGGCTGAGGTGCACAGGTGCTCACATAATTTTGTATATTCAATGTAGTATCCACTTTTGACTGCCTGCCTCGTTGGCCGAGCGATCGCAAGCGCGACTGCCGCGCAAGGGGTTTCGGGTTCGATTCCCGGGTCTAGCAAAGTATTACTGGGTTTTTAAAAAATTCTCAGTAGTAGCACGGAGTCTGGAATTGTGCCCGGTATATGGCAATAGGCTCACCCCCTATTATATGGGACTCATAATATAAATAGTGAAAAGTGGGTGTTACATTATACAGTGGCATAATGTGCCTACCCTTTGGGGATAAGAGGCATGATGTTATGTTATCCACTTTTCATAGTTATCTTATAGGTCCACGTAACAGGGAGTGAGCTTATTGTAATTTATCAACCAGGTAGAGTTCAAACTGTGGTTTCTTAAGATTTTTTTATATAATTAAATAAAACCTGTGCCTTTAGCCAAACGCCACTTTAGCGCTTGTCTACAAAGAGAGTAGAAAACTAAATGTATGGGGATGACACTGACAAGTGTCAAAATTTACGTCAATCCCATATAATTTGGTTTTCTATTCTACATGTAGACAAGCGCTAAATGGCATTTGCTACAGCTGCTGATGTGGAAATCGAAGTAACTATAAGAATTCCCTACTTAAATCCTCATTAATGAATCACAGTCACTATAAAAGCTTTACAAAGTGTTTTGTTTGTTACATTTTATTGCGAGTGAACGAGCTTTTCATTTCATCGTGAACATGTCGGCGTTTACAAATTATTTTACATCCACCACAAGCGTGCATGTGGGAAGCGAACAGCTTTTTAATGAATCGTTAAATACATTACATAGTTATATACTCGTTACATGTAGGTACGTATCATCACATCATCGCACTGAAGATTGAAACAACATATGTACAAACTATTTGATCATTGCTATTGTTGTCTTTTTGACGATGATATCCGTTCCTTACTCCTGTAATCCTTTCCTTACTAATATTATAAATCGGAAAGTGAGTTTGTTTGTTTGTTTGTTTGTTTGTTCCGCTTTAACGCCGTAACTACTGAACTGATTGGGTTGAATTTTTGCAGACGTAAAGTTTGGAAAAATTTGGTATTTTCGAAGGAAAACGAAATTATTGGTATAGATGGCGCTGTGTGTATTAGCATATGTCACATTATCACATAGGCTTTTTATCTTTTTGTGATGCGTGCGAAGCCGCGGGTAAAAGCTAGTGTGTTAATAAGTGCAATTATCACAATCAGATATCGGTTTTAACTCTGGTATAAGCAGTCATCAGATTTTCCAAACTCCAATACTAAATACAGTGTTCGTGCGTCAAATTAAAATTACCTTATTAGTTCTTTACACTTAAAATAAATCAAACGCGTTGAACACAGCAATCAATAATCCTAACACTTTTCCTTTTCTTAACAGAATCATGCGCAGGAGTGTCATGTGGCAGCGGCCGACGCTGCGTGGTGCGAGGCGGGCGTGCGCGGTGCGTATGTGCCGCAGCGTGTCGCCGGGTCGGCGCCGTGTGCGGCAGTGATGGCCGGACGTACCCGTCGCTCTGCCGGCTTCGGAGACGAGCCTGCCGGAGGCCTGCCAAACACCTTGTGCTAGATTATCCTGGTCCTTGTCAAGGTAAGAACACTTTAAATATAGCTCTTGAGTAGGTATGCTTTTGTCAAAGATGATATGTAAGATTGACGCTACCTACGCTACAAATCATAAAGAATACATACATAGTTTTAAAAATAATACAATTGGGCAAATCTTTTTGTAAACCTTCCCACTTCTCACTCTCCTCATACTTTCGGACCCATTATTCCCATAAACACTGTTATGTTAAGTAGTTGTCATAACACTCCAAAATGACATCACATGCTATCTGGAATCGCGGAGAACCTAACGGGTTACCGGGGCTCCGACTCGAAGTGCAGGAGTAGGAACAGGGTGGTTTTTAGTCAGTAAGAGTCTGACAATCCCTCCTGCCTCACCTAGGCGGGAGAAGCCATTCGATGATTTTCCCCCCTTAAAAAATTCTATCTGGAAACTTGTGTAAAGTTATGTTTAAAGTACCCATAAACATATATCGAGAGGTCTTGGATAACAATCTGGACCTGATAATCTCTTGTCTGAGAGATCTGTCTTGGCTAAGCATGCAGACATGGAGGATACATTACGGTCTCATTCATTTATTATATAAAAAAATCAGCGCATGATTCATTGTCGTTCAGTTGCCAACAACTTGCCCATCCATCATACGTGTTTAGGGCAGGTAGCCAGTGCAACCGTAACAGCAGAATGATGTGGACCTACCATCAAAACGAGGCATCGCTTCACAGACATTTAAGAATAAAGAATTTTCACCCGATTTAAGAAAATTGTAAAATTTGATATTTAATTTGGTAATTAGGATCTTTTTGACCCGCGATTGTTCAGTTTCTGATCTGTGCTGTGGAAAATACCGACTATATCAATTTATCCGCCAGTTAGACTAAACGAAACTTAAATAAAGCGGTAAGACAGTCCGTAGTAGTCGCGATTGCAGCCAATATCAATATTTAATAGCGTAGCTCCGACAAAATAAATAAATAATTATTTCTATATTTAAAAATATCTCATATTTCCAATTAAGTACCTACACCCATAACAGGTATTTAAAAATATAAATTCTTTTGATTAACTAATTTAGCACAATTTAATAACGAGTTTGCCTAACGAAGGCACATCTATCGGTAATCAATTACTGCCCGTAACATCTGCACTTTAAGTTGCATTTTTGAGCTTATCGTCACATCTACATGTATAAATACGCATGATTCATTACCGCTCACTTGGCAACAGAGCTACCATTCATCATTTGCAATCGCGAGCACCTAGTAACTGTCTAACAAACTATAAATATAGGTATTACCTTTGCAAACGGTCTGTTTAAAGCTCCATCAAAGTTTAATAGCAAATTATTGGCGCGCTCAAGCTTGACGCCCAGTTGCTATGGCTTTCGCCCCTAGAACATTGCAAATATTGCAGTGCACGGAATAATGTGTGCTCTGACGCAAATCTCCTAGAATAACAATATCTAGGTCTGAATGATCAGTGCTATAAAGTGCAGCTGCAACAATTTTGTATTCAGATTTTAGTATGCGTTGAAGTGTGAAGGATATGATGTTGTTGATACTTATTTTATATATATGTGCTGAAGGTATGGTTTGTATGTTGGCCAGTTTTAAAGGATTTGTTAAAGTAAGCTTTTACCTATATTTTAGCCAAATTATACCAGAAACTTATGACTTACATAATCTTCATGAAATAGGGTCGGATTATGGGGAAAAACTAAGTTTTGCATAAATTAAGGTGAATGCTATGTGTGCTTGTAATTGTCCACAATCAACACTGTTCTTAAAACCAAAATAAAAAGATAAAATTTTATTCAACCTGCCGCCATTCATTCACACAAAATCACGAATGACCGGCAGTTCTCTTCTTATATGCAATCGCCATAGTCACTTTTCTCATTAAGTACGCAAATTACCAGCCCATGACAATTCAGAACGTGTAAACGTTTTGTTGTCACCGTCATACACTATAATGATATTGGCGTGATGAGCTTTTCTTATTGATCGCGCAAGTCACCTGGCTGCGTTTGCGCACATGTAGATCTGTATACAACAGCGTCCGTTGCACCACTCATACGCACAAACTGATGGCTTTGATAACAATGCCTCATTTCAGAAAACTAACTAACTTTTTTAACTTAAATTGATTGGAACAAAAAACTAAAACGAGTGAAAATTTAATTTATGAAGTCAAGCAATGGTATCAACCAAACCATAACTACCATACACTTAGCTACCTACAGCTGCACCAATATAATATTAATTCAGGTTACCGCCTGCACTAGGCACTGGGCTGCACTAGAACAATCGGCTATTGAAACTCGTGGAACTTTTTACTTAGCTCGCTAAATGGGAGTTTCGCGGATTTTCTTTTGTTCATTCTCGGTCGGGTGCATTAATCCTGACTGCCGTAATGACTAGACACACCCCTACTATCGCGCTTGTAAATTGCTTGCCTGTTCTTAGAAGGCTAGCTACATCTCTATTGGGATCGCAACTCAATAATGGCTCATTGCGATGCACGATACGTCTGGACGAACGCGTCTCGCCCGAGGTGCATGAATGTGAATGAGAATTTCCTCGCTACCGTCGGTTCTCGATCGGTTATTTCACGTTTAGCATATTCTTATTTTTGTATAATAGCTTACATTTACTACGCTAGTAGCATTGCAGATCTCGCCAACGCGATTGATCGGCCTTACATTTATTACATTACATGTTATCTAAACGTTTTAAATGATTACTAATTTTAGATTTTTGGGTAAGACCGGCCTGCGAGTTAGACGTTCTGTGTGATGTGTGATTTAAGAGACGTTTTTCAATTTTCGTCTTCATGAGAACTTAGACTAGATTTCATAGAACATTTGAGAAAAAATTGTATCAATAGTAGAATTGATTCTGTTATTTTCGTGTTTCACGATTAAATGCATTTAGTTTCACTTTCATTCTAAATCTGAATCTACTATTAGTTAATATCTAAAGCTCTACTGAATTTAGTTTATCTCTGATGGAATTTAGCTAACAATCGTTGTTTATTCCGAAAATTGTACTACTATCTTTTTGTCCTTTTAATGAAAGGTACAACAACACAAAAAGTTTCCTTATCACCAAAGTAGTTTAGAAAACATACATACATAACATAACTCACAATTGAATGTCTCGAATTCTAGAAAGCATCGAGATATCATAGTAGGCCCTACGTTACTACAAGTGTAGCGTAGTCGTTTTTTGTTGGTGGTAGACCCTGGAGGTAAGTAATAGCAGTGTTACGGGTAAATAGTGGGTAAGGAACTGATGTAATTGTACCTCTCTGTGTCGTGCGACCACTTTTAAACACTTTGTAGTCCTTTATACTCAATGGCTAGAGCAGATAGGATGATTATATGTTAAATAGTAAAATTACCTGCAAATGTGAGTAAAATTATGAATTTAATATAAGTGCAATAAACTTCTATCGTCTATGCAGTTATTGTTGTAAAAATCTCACAATGAGTGATAGTTAATAAGTCTGCGTAGGTAATAACTTCCATATTTTTTAATAAAGTCTGAAAAGGCCACCTACGTACAATGGCTCATATTTAGAAACAATTTGCTGTAGTTAGCATGTACCTAGCTATTACAACTTAGTTACATAGTTATGACAATTTGCCTTTAACTGAATGATTTAGCAATCTGTAGGTACGGTGCATTCTGTATGTGCAATACACAGAGTTGACCTCAAAACAATCGGATTGTAATGCCAGCGAATATTCATAGGCTCGGCTTTATGAATATTCAAGTTATTGTCTACAGTCTCAGACTGAAAAGGTAAACAAGAGATTAATGCTATTGTTTACGCTGAAGTATTGTTATAGGTCAATATATTGGTAATCCAGGGGGCTAGGCTTGTCTAGGCTATGTCTGCAATTAGTCTAGCATTGACGTATTTGATTACGAGATTTTGGGACTTGAGACTTTCAGCTGAAAAGATTATACCTATTTAGGATTGGTCATCTGGTTTGATTATCTTGTCGTATGTTGGGGTTGACTGCAAGACCTATGACTCTAGAATCGAAATCTGTAATTGGCTGAGGCGACTTTTACATAGCTTATCTATCACACAGCTCATCATGCTCGTCTATGCTATATTTTTTAAGCCCGGATTTTGTCATGCGTCGTAGGTGCGATTATACCTCTAAGCATGTGCTTTTTATCGTGCAGGTCTAATTATGTAAATTGACATGCACAATGAAAATCACAGCTAGATCTAGAACAACAAATTGTGGATCCACACAAAGAATTCATGAGAGAACCATACCTCATGTAGCCGACTAGCCTTTGCCCAATACACAAATCGTGCACTTCATAATAATATATTCATTTGTGGAAGCGGGAAACATATTCCGAACGGACGTCATTACGTGTCGATGTTGGCATGTACATTCATTAGACAATACAAAGTGGGTGTGTCAACTTCTGAGGAATTTATTTTTGGTGCAATTTGAATATGATTGTGTCTCGTTACTCGTTGTATGACAGGTAGGTATTTGGTGTCGTAAATTGTTATATTATTGAGAGAATTACCCGTCTCTTTATATTGTAATTTACCTACTCTTTTTCAATAGTTTCGTATAAGATTTATTTTATTTCTAGCCTTTATAATTAGTATTAAACTCCATCAAACGTTTAGTAGACTGAAGATTCATCTTAGAAAGTACACATACTTAACTCGGAAAAAGTCACATTGGTACTTGCCGTTGGTAGCCGTTGGTAGCTCGAACCCGCTCCCTCATGCATGAGAAGCGGGCGTCTTAAACCTCCGGGCCACCACGACATGAACTTATCTAACTTTAAATTGTTTTTGTAATTTTACACACTATCATGACTCCAATACAGGTACTGTAAGTACCAAAAATAAACCAGTATACTCATGTACAGAACAGCCAGTAAAAATCTAAAAATTTCATACAATTCGCATTCAAAATATTCGTGTAGCAGGTTGAACAGGAAGACCGGTGACGTCTTTATAACTTAGAGAGTTTTCCTGCACCAAGTAACATAACTCCTGGCACCCACGGAACTCGATGTAGGATGCATAGGATGCAGATAACCATCACAACCATTACACAAGCACAGTTAGATGCTAAACCAGTCTCTACGCACAGTTTATGCGTAAAAAGTAGTTTAGGAATATTTATTCATAATATTTAACGCTTAACTTCATCTTGTACGATGTTTCATTTATGGAAAAACGTGATATGTTTACAAGTGGACCCTAGTAAATAAATTGTAGATTAATCTTTGTGAATAAAAATTTATTGCTACGTGTGTTGTCGCGCTAAACTCATGAACGGCTGGGTCATGTCTGATAATGTTTTTTTTAATGTTTTTGTAGACGACCGGGATGAGTATGTTAGTTTGTTATTAAAAGATAAATTAAAAAATAAACGTTTGCGTTAGTTTTCAATAATTACGTTACTCTTATTTTGTGGTAATATCTTGTAACTTTTCTACAAAGATAAGTTTCGAAGTATAAAAGTATAAAAATAGCTAGCAAGGTTTGCGACTGCAAAGAATTATCATGATCTGAGAGAATCTAAGTATGTGTGTCGCCTTCATTAAATCCTCTCGTCTAGCCAAGAGTCTGGCATAACCCGTCTTCCAACTTCCTAGTCCACATTCCATATTTTATACATTATCTAAATGATAACATACTTCGATAATAAGTATTAAAGTAGGTTCGTAAAATTGAATGTACTTATGTAGACACCGTTACAGTACCTACGTCATCAGCTTCATTCAGGAGCTTCAGTAATTAAGCCTCATCGACAGCGAGTATATGTCATAAAGTTCTCACATCAACAGCCAATAAATGCCCACTCCTGAAGCAAAGCAAAGCCTCTTCTCACACGGATATGGTTTGAGCTTTAATCACCACGCTTGCTCAATGCGATTTTAAACTTATAATTATAAATTAAAAGCCCAGGTTTCCTCGCGATGTTTTCCTTCACCGTTTGTCAGTGGTATCAAGATTATTTAATCTTAAAAAGTACATATAACTCGGAAAAGGTCACATTGGTACTTGCCGTTGGTATGAACCCGCACCCTCATGCGTGAGTAGCTGACGTCTTAAACCTCTGGGCCACCACGACAAAAACTTCTCATTTTAGCTGAATAAATATGCAATATATGGAATTGGAATTAAGATCGGAACAGAAATAGGTAGATAGGACATTTTAAATCAGAATAACAATAGAAAAGAGCTTTTATACGAGACTCCGTCATCTACCGATCTTTTCCTACCCAGGCTACTTACATACCTACATATTATCTACTTATTCGCAATCAGGAATGTAAATTACGAGAAGATTAATTCTTAGTTTATCTGAAATGGATTTACTGGCTCTATAAATCTGTATCATTGGACGCTCCAGAAAAATCGCGAACTACACTAATTACAAACATGTTTTCTGAAACCCCAGACAGCTTTTGATACATACCGTACATATCAAGCTTCGATAACGAGTACCTATCTATAACATAAAGCAGACGTATACCGGCCACGGCCGATCAGAAACGATAAATTCCAGGTAATCTACACTCCAAAGTCGGACACTCGATCGTCTACACTTGTAGAGCAACACTCCATAAACCGCAATCCGATACAATCCCGGGAAAAGTGCGGGATTTACACAGCGCGCGCTGGCTTGACTGATTTCTATCATGGTTATAATGTTACACCGACATTTCTATGCACAGCCGCGCCTTTCGAAACTTCCCAGCCACAATTAACTTTATCTTGAACAAATTTATTGCTTTTAAGTATAGTCGTTAGTGCTATAGACTTTTATGTTTACGCAGCAACTCCTGTCGAGCGATTCAAATGATAACTTTAAATTAAGTACACATTGCAAACCTAGATATACAGCATTTTAAAATAATAAATCCATTTTGTTTATGAGGCAATTAAGTTTGAAAAGCCATCGTAAAGAAATCAACTTATATAGATATATAATTCTAATCCGTCGTAATTGAGTCGTTGCTAACACCTGGACAACGATATTTATCAAGTACCTAGTTGACTGGCTAATCAAGTAATGACTGCATATTGCTACTTTGTCCTACTGGATTGTGAAACGTCTTTGTATCTTGTTTGAGACACATTGTATCTTGTTTCATTTCCATTTATTGTTGTTGCAGAGGGCAGTTGTGAGGGTGTGAGATGTGGTGGAGACAAGCGTTGCGTGTTGGACGCAGAACTCGGCGCTCACTGCGTTCGCTGCGGAGCGTGCGGCGTGGCCGGCTCGCCTGTCTGCGCGGTGGACGGTCGGACCTACGCCGGCGCTTGTGCGCTACGACGAGCTGCGTGTGAGCGGGGGAAAGCCCTGCCACTAGCTTATAGAGGTCCTTGTTTAGGTAAGTGGAGGTTTCTGAAGAACACGTCGACTAACGATCTGGTCTATCGTTGACGCAGTTTGTCCTAAAAATAGTACTAGTCTATGAGTAGATAATCGGCAAGCTCAAGCCCTCTGCCAAACGTGGGGATTAACTTCTTTGTTTAGTTCAGCAATAGAATCGATCTTTAAAATTTTAATCCATCGATTAATCAGTTCCATCAAGCTGGTGATGATATAGGTAATCGAATCACTGTTGCAGCTAACGCGACGTGTGCGTCGATATCTTGCGGCGCGGGCCAGCGCTGCGTGTCGGGTGGCGCGAGCGGCGCGCGGTGCGTGTCGTGCGGGTCGTGCGGCGCGGCGGCGCGGCGCCAGCTGTGTGGCTCGGACCGCCGCACCTACCCGTCCTGGTGCCGCCTGCAGCGCGCCGCCTGCCACGCCGGCCGCGTCGTCGACCCACTTCATACTGGGCCTTGCAAAGGTAAGCTTAACAAACCATTCCCATCACCCCAATGACCTAATAAATATGCTTCTATCAATATAATATGCTCTTTCCATTATGCCCTTATTGTTTACTTCTGTTTGATAAGCAATTATGTTTGAAGATAGTAAGAAAATTTGCGTTTCTCTATTTATTCTGAAAATTCTAACAATAGTTTTTTGTCCACAGGCAACAAAAACATAACGGACAATAGTGTGATTGAGAGAAGTGTGAGCGAAGTGGACACCACGCGCGTCCTATAGTCATTGACTCTCTAGTATCGTGGACTGATCCACTGGCTTCGTAGTTCAGGTGACGTAGGCGACGGGCCGGCCATCATGGCGCCCCACGCGTCGATATAATATCTACAAAAGTTTTTGAGCATTTTCTTCACAGCCTCGTAAAAGGGTCATCGTTTTGAAATACTCAGGTTTAGGTAATTTTGGACAATTAGGTTGAGCAGACTATTGGTCTGATGGAGTGTGATCAGTCCTAGAGAGCCGTAGTTTAACTCATCAAAACTATTAAGAAATTAATAAATTAATTGCAAATCACAAGGCTCTGCGGGACCGCTCCATAATGTTCGTGACTCCTCGAGTCAGGTATAAAATTCAAAAGTTTTAGCTAGTTTATAGATTTAGATAAATCTGTCGAGCTGATGCACCCTTTCAAACTTTGTAGATAAATAATTCTATATACCTAGTTTTAAATAATTAACACTTACATTATTAAATTTGAGCACCAAATCGTACTTAATATTTAGTCAAAATGTTAAACATAGGGACTGTAGTTAGCACAATATTTGGACTTAGGTACTTTCTATATGAATAAATTCTAATTTCCGTCTTGTTGAACGTCGCTACATGAACGAAGCTCGTATTAGGATGAAATACAACTTTCATCGGACTGACATAATGTTCTTAAAATTTAATTAACTCTTAGTACCTTAAGACTTAAATAATTTTACTTCACGAGATGTGGTTAACGCTTAATGCAATATTTATTATTAAGTTACGAGTATGAAGTTTAGTGCAATAATTTTATTGAAAATTGTATGAAATTTATGTTATATGTTTTGTTTTGTTTGTCTTTACACATGGCTCGAGATGCGTAGCACATAAAACGTCAACACGACATTCGGACATGTTTAGAGTGTTATACAATACGTTTTCAGTATTATGTGTATGTAAGATTTTTAGACTATCGTTATTTTCGAAACATTTTACATTGAAAATTAAGTGATTTTTATAGACTGTAGGTAAAAAGTAATTTATTGTTACTTTTAAATTATTTCCAAAAATGTTTCCAAGACTACTTGTATGTGAGTTTATCTTCGTGAATTTCTCTGAAATGAATCAAAGCAATGTGTGATGTCAAAGCGGTAGGAAACTCTCTCGGCGTCCTTCTTAGCTTTAAATTGTAACATGTTGGTCTTCTACTCACTGTAATATTATGTAATTATGTTTTACTAATTATATAAACAGGACAGCGGACGGCATAAGCTTTAATGCACACATAATACTTAATTTAATACCTACATCGAATTACTACTGTTAATGGAAATTATTTTAGTCTGGCAATACAGCGCGAGCGATGCGCAAGCGCGAAAATCTCAAAATTTGGTAGTTTATTGAAAATTTGTAGAGGGAAAACGCAGCTCAATAGTTGTTGAAGTCATTGTATAGTCATAAAAGCTTAATAATTAATTATATTATGTTAATTCTTTTGTATGAAACGAAAAATAATTGTTTATATGTGTACTTACTTTAACTATTGTGAACAAAACAATACATAATACAGTAGCTCGGCTCTTGTCAATTATTTACTAGTGCTAATCACGTTGTTAACTGTGTCTGACTATAATAATACTAAATTGTTGTAGTTGAATTCATTGCAAACATTAGATGATTTGTATAATATATTGTCCTTGTTTCTTCATAAATGTTTTACACTGGTAACTGTATTATTATTTTAAACCCTATCAATAACGAAATACCTCAATCGTTTTGATTGAAATCCAATAGAAGTTATGTCACTGTAAATTGGATATTGATTAAGGTTAGTTGTTAATTTCGGCCATATATGAACCTCATGCCCTATATGAACCATAAACTTTTAAAGATATCTTCCACACCTTAACATTAACAGGACCTTTTAAAATAAATTCTATATATCTTTAATTAGCTCATGTGAAGAAAACAAACGTGAAATCGTTATCCGTAAATCTAAATACAAAACGAAGATTGTTGCGCGCCAAAATATTCAAGTCAATACAGGGTGTAAACGGAGCGCTCCCAAAAATTGCCGACCGGTGTTGGTCAAAAAATAAGTTTTATTTTCATAAAAATAAGGAATAAAATGTTTATTTTATGTAAAAGTGGTTGTAATCAAGGCTGATGTTGCATTAATAACTCTTCCTAGTCGCTCTGATTTTGCTCACTAGATGTCGCCACTTACCTCGTCCCGTTGCTTGGTGTATTGCAACATTCATAGGTATCTCCAGCTCTTTGGATATTTGGTCAGACCACCGTATGGGACTGCAGCCTCTCGGTCTCTTTCCTTCTACTTTACCAGTCACTATGAGGATTTCCATACTGCTAGCATCTCAGCGAGCATATGGCCAAAGTATCGCACAATCCTTTGCATGAATAGTTAACACGTAAACAAAAAGATTTAATACTTTTTTTGTCAGTGTTTTCGGAAGAGTTCCGCTACTCACCATGTATATCCAAAAGACATGTTTGTCAATAAAACCAATAGACTGACACAAGAGACACTTTTATTACATTAAAAAGACCATCCGCAATGACGGAGACAAGATGGTATCCGCACCACAAAATGAAGGAATGTCAATATTTTACAAAACATTTATTTCTTATTGAAGTACAAAATTCTGGACTGTCGTATAACTTAAGTAAATATTATTAATATCTTACAATCGGAACCTTTTGCCCTACTTCATTAGGGCACCATGGTCATACTAACACGTTGCGCATCCAATAAAATGTATACAGTTGGAGGGCTTCTCACCTATTGCCAACTTGGTTGCGCAGCCAACTGATTGCCGGCGACCAAATTAGCTCTGTAGATACCATGGCATGGAGCAAACTGTTTGTACGAAAATGGTGTCCTAATATAATAATAAATAGGGGCCTTATTATAACAAAAAGTAAGGAGATTAATTCATGTGCGTAGAGTTTAAACTTGCATTTAAATAATATTGTAACGGATCACAATTATTGCTATTTATTTTAAAAAAGCCTTTCGATATTAAGTAAATAATTGTAGTAATTATAACAACGGTTTACGAACTATTAACAGCTAGATTATATTACAATTTTGATTGGCGATGCGTTATGAAGTTCTTTCTTTACAATCTGAAATGGATCACCAATGAGGTAACAGTATTTACAAACAATTATTTTAAAGTAAATAGAGTATTGTAGCACAATGCGCTAAGTTGCGCTACCGTTGCGCAAGTGCGCAAACGATTACCCAATATACTCTGGTCTAGAAGTTGATAGAATAAATTTCTGATGCAATCAATATTCACCATATTATAAAAAAACTAGCTTTGTTTAACTAATCGCTGAAAAACTCGATAACACATCGCCAATTTCGATAACTAAGTCGTGAGGGTGTCTACTTATAATATATCTAAGATTTTACAGACTACCAACAAAACCACAAAACAGCGCTTATCACAAATACACATTCTGACATTTTAAACTTTCGCAACTACAGGAACAAATATATAATTGCGCTAAATACATCTGTAAGCATTTGAGAATCGAGATCGAATCAAACTCGATAGCGTATTGAAATATGAACCCTATTCTGTTGGTAATTAAGGATACGACGCATATAAAAATCAATATTTGAAGACTTGTTTCAGAAACCACTTCCAACTTTCTAAAAGGCAAAATTTGTACTATAATTTGGAATTTAAATCGAAATCTACCAAATTGGAAGAGGATTCAAGAACGAGGTCTTATCCTGCGACAGAATAATTTAAACTTTACATTTACAAATAAGAGTCAATACAGCGTAACTCGAAAACGATGCTACCGTTATGATTGAGAAAAGGCTACATATTAGAAAAAAATATCTATTAAATAACAATTTGAAAATGATCTCTAAATCTTCACAAATAAGGTTGTCAATAAATCAGCTTTTTTTAATTAATTGTTCACTAAGTTTCTCTTAATTTAACGACTAAGCTTATGATACAAATGTATTCCGCGATAATTGTTTAAGAACATTCTAGAATACTTTCTTTATTGCGAGGAGAATGCGACAATGGAACGTTTTATAAAAATATTTATATTATACCTATGAAAACTCTAACAAGAATTATTGATTTATACCTAACTATGTATTTCTATGACAGCCGTAATTACTGAAGGACTATTAACAAATGGAAGAGCTTCAAAAAGATTAAATAGGTACCTATCATTCTAAAGTCATCACCTCATATGCATAGTATCAAAATCTGTACGTATTTGGGTACTAGGCATATTAAGAGATAATTTACGGGGTTAAATCTATTATCCACATAGGAAATTAACATTAAATTATTGCTATCTCTTACTCATAGGTAATAACTAACTTTTGCCCCCATCTTCATAGGTAATACGCGTTAAATTCGGAGTTCGTGTACATATAAACCTTCCTCTTGAATCTATTGAACAAAACCCCATCAAAATGTCTTGCGTAATCGCAGATATCTAAGCATTAAGACACGGCCCAATAGGGCTGATGGCGACACGGAGCCGCGGAGGGCTTAACGGGTTGCCGGGGCTCCGGCTCGAAGTGCAGTAGTAGGAACGGGGTGGTTTTTAGTCAGTAAGAGTCTGACACTTCCTCTCGCTTCACCAGGGCGGGAGAAGCCATTGGATGATTTTCCTCCCTCAAATAAAAAGCATACAGATACAGACTTAGTGTTGTTAACATAGCTACGTTAAAATAAATACTGTGCACATTGTTTTAAGGTTGAATATCGTCTAATCGAATGAAGTAATTGACATCAGCTCTTTATCGTAATCAAGGATAGCCTATTTGAGTTCGTGAACAAAAGATATATTATTAAAACTACAAGTAATATTGGACCTTAGCTATTTATTTATAACAATTAAGTTACATTGTCGCATTCTTCACATTACAAGCAGCACTTATCTAGGATATTCGACTTTGTCACGATAAAATGACAGGTAATTTTGTAAATATTTTTTTGGGACAATGGAGAAGGACATAGGCGAAATTGTACGGGCGCAAAGCCTAAGGAGCTAGTCAAAAAAAAGCAATAAGAAATATTTACTGAACATTTTCTTTTATGGGATAGTCGGAGCAAACGGGCTGACGGATCACCTGATGGTAAGCAATCGACGGAACCCGCGAGACCGAAGGAGATACAAGTGCGTCATCTGACTTGTGGGGGTGGGGGGGGGTAGGGATATAAGGGTTGATAATTTGGTCACGTGCTCCAACGTGACCTTTATGGTCAAATACTCAAATTCTCTTCAATTTTAAGCCCCTACAAGTATTTCTATTACTACAAATACTTTATTAAACGAGAGATAGTGCGTTACTTAAATTTGAGTAGCATTTTAGTATTTGGCCGTTAGTACACAAGTTTACCCGAAAGAACTGTAGCTCTTATAATATTAAATTATTAAGTTCATTACCTATATTTCACTGCACCTGTTGCATTGTAGTTCTTGTGAATAGTTCCATAGTGAGTGCGCTTAGGAACAGTGGTATAGAGCGGTGCTGGTGTAGATGTAACTCGACTAACTCGCCAAGAGTCGCTGAGTAGTCAGTGTGGACCATCTCTATGCCGTCGTCGTCCAACGTAAACGTTAGATACTCTTCCGATGACTCCGCGTACATGTTTGATATTCTGTAAAGGTAAAAGAGAAAAAATGAAGTTTGGTAACTTATACCCAGAGGTTTAAAACGCCCACTTCTCATGCATGAGAGTGCAGGTTCGAAACCTACCAACGGCAAGTACCAATGTCACTTTTTCCGAGTTATAGAGGAGAGAGGAGGAGGAGAGTCTTGAAGAAACTTCGGCTTACAATTTCTAATTATAAGATTTTAATCGCCAACCCGCATTGAGCAAGCGTGGTGATTTATGGTCGAACCTTCTGCGTGGCAGAAGAGGCTTTGCTTAGCAGTGGGCACTTATAAGCTGTTGATGATGATGATGATGAACGTATATCACGTTATTATTCTCAAGGACCAAGTCATAAGTGGTGCATAATAACAAGTATTATACATAAATACCGAACACAATCTTTGCCAGTTCCTAGTCCGATATAATAGGGGGTATACTTTAAACAAGCAATGGATACGATTGCAGACTACGAATTATAGTTAAAAATTTCAAATATCGCGTATCGAATTCGAGAGTAAACAAGAATTAGTAGAAAAAATTAATTATAACTTTCATGGGACATACTAAATTTAATTATTATGTTTTTCGACTTACTCACGTAATTATTTGACGAGGAACTCGACTAGTTTCAAGCCATGCTAGAGGCTCATGTTCATAAGTCTCGAACTAGTCGAATTTCTCGTCAAATAATTACGTGAATAAGCCGAAAAATTTAATAATAAAAAAATAAATTGTTCCGTTATTTAGCTTAAAAGTAGTTTTATATATTGTCTATACACGTTAATGACCGTAAGATAAGATTTACATGCAAACGAATGCACTCACCTATAATTCTTATGTCCAGTTCTATCAATTTTATAACCTAGTAGCATGTAGCACACGTCTCTGTACTCCTGCGCTGAGGACGTGAACTCTTCTTTCAACCTGGAAACCAACACAATTGATTATTATTTATATTGAATATAGAATCATTACTATAATATTATAAATCGGAAAGTGAGTTTGTTTGTTTGTTCCACTTTCGCGCCGTAAATACTAAACCGATTGCTTTGAATTTTTGCAGACGTGAAGTTAGAAGTCTGGATTAAATAAGAGGGTACTTTTTATCCCGGAAAAATTTTATATTCTCGAGGGAAAACGAAATTATTGGTATAGATGGCGCTGTGTGTATTGGTATATGTCACATAGGCTACTTTTTATCCTTTTGTGACGCGAGCGAAGCCGCGGGTAAAAGCTAGTAATAGATAAAACAATAAATTGTAAAAAAAGAAAATGTTTTATTTTCGTTTGTCCATACAAATGTACATTCTGGAACGAGCGCCTAGTTTCATTGATGACTGGCACGTTTTGAAAGTGTCTGTATGTTGATTAATTCGAAACTAATCCTTTGGCTTTATTTATCTACCTTTTAAGTTTAATACGACTGCTTTCCAGCTGTTGCTTCAACTGCTGTATCTCTTCAGGACAAGCTCGAGAGCCGCCACCTTCTCGCAAACTTGCTTTTAGTCTTTTGATCTGGAAAGCAACAAATACAAAATAATAAGAATAAATATATTAAATTATTGAGCGCTAGCCATGATATATACAATGTTACCCCGTTTTGAGTTTGAGCAATCAGATGTGCTATTTAATCCCAATTAATTAAAGTGTACTCGTTGGTTTGCTCACTGTTCGAGGATACTCGACTAATCTCAACCAACACCGGGGCTTATAAACTTATAATCACAAACTGCGTGCGCTTTGATAGATTCTGATTCGACCAATCTTATTGTTATAACTGAGTAATAAACCAAGTTACCAGTTAGCGTTTAAGTACCTAAGAAATTAATTAGTTTTATACCACACAACAAATGATACATTAAAATACAGCAGTAAAAAAATATGAAGGATGAAATTTCAGTTTATTTCAGTTTCAATAAAGAAAAATTTAAAGCATGATATAAGCTACAAATTAGAAACTTAATTTTCCAATATTATCTACCAGAAGCAAGTTTTCTACAGCGTGAAACTAGGACTTTAGAATACGGTGTATTACTATTATACTATCTCTTTCAATAGTTTAAAATCACAGGCTGACCATGCTGTATCGCCGTATTTAATCAAAACTATATCGACTAAATATTACACAATTTGCCATTTAACTTTACATTCGCAAAGCAAACTTACGTGAGGCGCACAGCGTCGTGATCGTGATTAATACGGTCTAAATCGGTTCAGCCGTTTCGGAGCAAAATGTGATAGACATGCCAACAAAATAGAAGAGAATAAACACCCGATTCAGAGTGTAGTACTATGTAGTTAAGCCCTAAAAATTAAATACTTTTGTATATACATGATGTACCTAATTGTACCTATTCATATTATGACTAAAGTTATTAGCAAATGTATAATTAGCTGTTATAACTTACTTTCCCAGACAATGAGAACTAAATCTCGATCAAAAAATATATTTCAACAATTTTTCTATATTTTATACAATATTTCTGGCTATATTTTATACAATAGCATGTTAAAAACGGAGTAAATTATTCAGAAGTAACTAAAAACTATAAAAGATGAACATGTAACGTAATGATGATATATATTATTATAGTCCAAGAGCTAGTAGTCATTTTTGGTAGGTTAAATAAACAGTCATTTTTTGAAAGTAATAAATCCTTACTAATATTATAAATCGGAAAGTTAGTTTGTTTGTTTGTTCCGATTTCACGCCGTAACTACTAAATCGATTGCTTTGATTTTTTGCAGACGTAAAGTTAGAAGTCTGGATTAAATAATACTTTTTATCCCGGAAAAATTTGATATTCCCAAGGGAAAACAAAACTATTGGTATAGATGGCGCTGTATGTATTGGTATATGTCACATAGGGTACTTTTTATCCTTTTGTGACGCGAGCGAAGCCGCGGGTAAAAGCTAGTATTTAATAATCAAGAATAGACAATAACCAAAGTATGGAGATTCAAAGACCAGTAAACAGACTTGAGTTGAAACTCCACTGCTGATGTCAGTGTCCATGACCGGTGCTAATTGTGTATCATTAGGAAATTAAGTGACATTGTTTGTTAGCCTCCTTGTACCCGAAAAAAGATACCTCCGTAAAATGATCATTAACTCTCTGACTATTAATTAAGTCATAGCGCAGCATAATACTATATAACATGTATATGAGATGTTTAGTTACATAAGATTTAAATATTTAAATAACATACCTCTTCTTGTGCAGCCTCTAGGTCTAACTGGATTTGTTTCTGAGCTTCTGCCGCGGGATTGTTGGTTAGGTGGAGCACCTGGAAGTGGATAAGGTGTAATTAAAGGATGATAATCTACTACTCTTTATTTCTTTCTTCTTTAAAAAAACGTTGCCTCATTATTGTTGCAAATTATCCTGTGTCGTGTGTGCGTTTACAAACATGCAAGTTCACATACACATGACACCCAGGCCCGGAACAACAATCTGTGGATCATACAAAGAGTTGTTCCGTGCGGGAATCGAACCCGCGACAAGTTAATCACTTCGTTAATCTTTTGTTAATCAAATGTAAAGCTTTGGTTAATCAGTATGTAGAAGATGACTGTTATTTTCTTGACGTTTTCTTTCATTGGTACGTGACATTAATCAAAACAAAGCCGACCTGAAAATCAGTATTTTTAACTTGATTACAAAATCACATTTTTAAGAAATCTCGACAGGTTTAAATCTACAATTCACGACTAGCACGTACCTTGGTCTGCGATTGCGCGCCGATACGTTCCAAGTTAGCTTGTAACGTGTCCCTCTGTGCTCGTAACTTGGCTACGTCACGCTTGAGGTTCTCAGCCTCCTCGCGCCATTTGCTTGACTCTGCGCGTAACGTCTCCACCACTGCGTTAATAGTAAAAAAAAATAAGTATCTATTTAGATTAAGTAATAAGAAAATATAACATTTTTTATTTTATCAATCACACAGAATTTTCCCGCTTATTGGAGACTGACAAAAAAGTATTTGTTGTAGAGATATTAGCTACTAGCTACTAGGTATTTCAAACTTAAATGTTAGTAGTTACGATCGGGATTTTTATGTTCATATGAAGACGCGGTTATATTTGTAATTTTCAGAAAAATATTCCCAAGTCCCAAGCCAAACATGAAAATTATAACAACCCTCTCAAACCCCCAATATGGAGTTTCTTGCTCGTTCTTCGAGCGACTAGCTTCACTAACGGACAAATCATTTTTGATGTTTCAAAAGTTGAGTATTAATTGAAATAAATGCTTCGACTTTGCCCCCTCTGTCAAGCAATGGACAGGTCCCAGCCAGTAAGGGTGTGAGGTACGCACGTGCAGTATGCGCGGGCTGGTCGGAGTGCGCGAGCAGGTCCCGGTATGCCTGCAGCGCGCGCTCGAGCTGGTCGACGCGCGCCGCCAGCAGCGCCGCGCTGCCCGCGCCCGCCTCGCCGCACAGCGACACCGTCAGCTCCTTCTCGTAGCAGTCCAACTGCTGTCTGCAACCACCAGTATTTTAACCACTTGTATCACATTACTACTACATATGAAACTATTTACACCGGTTTGAGGCCTTTAATATTTTCAATTGTATAATAAAACTGAGTGAACACCTGTAGTGGATTTTAAGTAAACCAGTGCAAGAAATCGTATAAATACTGAACAGAAAGAAATATTTTTTTTTTATTGTGGAAATGATGAAATCTTTAACTAATATTATTTAAATTCTCGGGTCATCTGTCATCTACATCTCTACTATCTTGATTAGAAGACTTAAAAGATTTACATTTTTGACTTCCACAGTTATTCAAATAACAGTATAAAATAGTCTAAAGATTGTACCTATAGCTATCTCTCTCCCGGGTGACAAGTAGCAGCCGCTTCTGCAGCCTATGTATGAGACTCTCCTGGTTCTTGCGGACTACTTGCAGCTCGTTCAGCTTGCTGGTCGCCTTGTCGCGCTCGAACTTTATTGTTGCTACTTCCTGAAAGCATATTTCACAATTAATGATAATTTAACAACATCTTGCCTGATCTTGCAGATACAGTGAGATATATATTTTTGCATATTAACCGACTCAATGATGAGCGTATAGGGATTTTTAATTAGTCTTATTTCGTGTCCTTATTATTGAGTTCTTTGAACTGTACTGAAGGACATAGTAAAGTATTTTTAACACATTTATAATGGCAAGCATTAGCTCTTTACCCACCTCAGTGAGCTGCGCCAGCTGCGACTGGGCGTGCGAGGAGGCGGCGGTGGCGTCGAGCTGCGAGGTGAGCGCGGCGTCCAGCGCGCCCGACAGAGCGCGCGCGCTCTCTACTCCGTGCGTGCGCGCCGCTGACTTCCATTCTTCTAGTGCTGATTCTAGAGTAGCTAGTTTAACCTACAAACAATAACATCATGACTAATATTAATGGCTAAATTATTATTTACTTTTATTTATTTAACAACTTTGGGAGACTAACAGCTAGCATAACAAAAATTAAGAAATTGTGTGAGACTCTGACAGCCAATGACAAGTCTTCACTTATAAAAAACATCACAACTTTTGATTTTCCAAAAACATACAAAATACAGAATATAAAAAAAAATACTGAAACGGAAAATGTTTCAATCCAGATATTTCTTACCTTGGCCTCATGCAGTTCATTCTGCACAGGCTGCAAGACATCGACCCTGGACTGCAACTGATGGACTTGTTCCTCCAACAGTAGCTTGTTGCAGACGGCATCGCGTAGCGACCGCTCTTGTGAACGAAGTCTGTTCACCTCCTTCTCTAGCTCCGCCATATTGCTTAGACGTTTTTGTGCAGTCTATAAAGTGAATTGAAAATGTTAACTAATTATTATTGTGATTAATAAGAATTCGGCATTATTTGAATATTGATTTTATTTCCTGCTAACTACAAACTATCACCGCGCGGTTTTACCCGCTGCTCGGCTCGTATCGAACCGAATCGATGAGGACCGATTGAAGCCTGATGTTTTATAGCGTGAATGGACTATTAAACACAAAAACAATACAACATAAAAAACTAATTAAATCAGAGTGTCTTTAGAGATTTTTTAATGGAATACCGAATAAGCCACTATACGAGCCGACGGATCACTTCATTGTAAGCAATCGGCGTCGTCCATACACACAGAACCCCAGTGGCGTTACAAGTGCGTTACAGGCCGTTTGGGCATTAGGAACTTGACACTTAAATCACAATGGTAATTATTTCCTATATTAACTCAATATCTATCTATGACCCTCACCTTAGCCTGTTGCTGCCAGTCTTTGTAAGAGTCTCTCTCGTACTCCAACTCCTTGAGTTTGTTGGTGACGCTCTGCAGCTCGAAAGTCTGCTTCTCCAGCTGAGTCCTCAGTGTAGTGCACTGTTCTGCCCTGGTTGTTTGTTTTGCTACCTCGCCTTTTAATATTTCTACTTCTGACTGAGCTCCTTCCAATGCCTGCAGCATAACATCAAACAATCTTACTAATACTATAAATTCGAAAGTTTGTGAGTGTGTGTGTTTGTTACTCAATCACGTGAAAAGGGCTGAAGGGATTTTGATGAAATTTGGAACAAGTATAAATTATGGTCTAAAACAGGGCTGACCAAACTATATACCCTAGCCGGCTAAATAAATTTCTTACAAAAGCTGGAGGGCCAGAAAAATATATTCAGTTGTATAATGACGTTTAATATTGTATTCTTTACTCACAGTTTAAACTTGCTTGCAAATCATACACTGAATTTTATTATTGTTGTTGCACATAAGATGAATATGTTGAGAATAAAATGTGTGTCGCGGGCCACATGAAAAAAGTGGCGCGGGCCTTAGTTTGGGACAGTCCTAGTCTAAAACACGTGGGTACTTTTTATCCCACGACAACGCGGGTGAAGTCGCGAGCAGAATCTTAGTTAGCACGTAAAATATTAAATAAAAAAACTATTTTACAAATTACAACAGTAATTGATCACATCCATTATACTTCCTTATGGTATATAGTCAGCTAAGTTATTTCTATATGCGTATATCTCTATGGTATATCTATATGGTATATTCACGTGAGTAACCCGTGATTTTAGTTAATTTAGTATATGTCTCACGATAGTTATTATAAAAACAAATAAATCTTTATTTCTCACCTGCAAACCAAAAAGGTTGACTTTCGCTGAACTACTCAAATGCTAATCAATTTTAAGTTCCGCTTATTAGTTTTGTCACTACAAATCTTCTGAAGATGACACAGATGGCACGATATCACTACACAGTATAAAACAAGTCGCTATCTGCCGTCTGTCTGTCCCTATGTATGCTTAGATCTTAAAACTATGCAACGGATTTTGATGTTTTAATAGATAGAGTGAATGTTACGAAAGGCTACTATTACCTGTAACAATTCGTCCATATCCTTCTTCATCTCAGACAGCTGGTCCTTGCTGCTGACGCTGCACTCCAGCAGCTTGTCCTTCATGTCAGCTATCTGTTTGTGTAAGTCCGCCTTCTCTCTGTCCCAGTTAGCTTTCTGATCTTTGTGTTCTTTCAATGCCTGTAATGAAATGGTAATTTTATTATTGGTGAATAAGGGTCCTGGGTGACTTGGAACTGGTAGAATTTTACTCCATTAGTTCATAATATAATTAAGCATACAAGCAGTATATTTCGATTATACTGCCTCATTGGCAGTCTTCGCAAGTGCCACTGCCAGGCAGGGGGTCTCGGGTTCGATTCCCGGGTTGGGCAAAGTATTAAATGTTTTTTTTTTAATTCTCAGTTGTAGCATGGAGTCTGGAATTGTGTCCAGGCAATAGTCTCACCCCCTATTACATGGGACTCATAACATAAATAGTGAAAAGTGGGTGTTACATTGTACAGTGGCATTAAGTGTCGTAATGTGCATGGGATTAAAAGGTGTATTATTAAATGTTATTTCAATTTTACTATGCATTACATTATCTACCTAAAGTGTTTACCTAAGAAATCCATTAGTTAGTAGATAAATATAACGGATAATTACTTTACATAATTATGTTGTAGCCCTGACACAAAAACATAGAAACAATGCAATTTTATGAACTTTAAATTTTCCTTCAATTTAACTTTAAATTGAACAATTTGTTCCAGATTTACATGTGATGTGTAGTGTATGTGAAATTGTATGTTTATAAACACACTCTTCATCAGTCTTGACAGAGGAAAAAATACGAAAGTGCACAAAGATAAAAAATATATTAACCTTTCAAGTTCTTAGTTAAATATCAATTACAATGCCCTTAGAGTAATTACAAATAAAAAAAAAATTACAATACAAATAAATAAGAAGAGGAGAAATTGTGTTAATAGAACAAAGAAAAAATCATGCATATTCTCTATCAGAGAAATACAACACAGGTAGGGACATAGAAATATGTGTTGCAAATATGCAACACAAGTGGTATAAAAGTTAAAGTATGAATTTAATACAAACCTGATTGTATTCATCCTTCAGCTCCTGTTCCCTTCTCCTTATTAGTTGCAATCTGTCCTCCATATCAGAGAGAGCTCTCTCATCCCTCTTGTGTTGTTCCACAAGTGATCCCTTCTCTTCTTCAAACAGGATCTGCATCTCTTTACGAATTGTATGCTGGTGGTTTATGCGGGACTCCAACTTTGTAATCTATGGAAAAAGTGGTTGTGTTTACATGATAGCTAAATGTACAGAGTCGTTGAATATTAATATCATAAAAGTTATTACAAATATTTAATTTAGCAAACAAGATCTAACTCTTCATTACTATGTTAGTTATCAATTATAAGGGAAAGTTTATGCTAATAAGACAGATTCTGTTTACCTGAGCTTTAGCAGCTATTAGATCTATTTTCAGCCTCTTAGCTTCCCATGGTGACGGAGGTGCAGACGCCGGTGTCGAGCTGGACTCCGAACGCACACGTTTCTCCGGCGTACATACATCATTCATGCAAACGCTCGACTTTCTTTTGCCAAGTGATAATAGGTTATTGAGTCCTACAAAAATTAAATTAATTAGGAATTTTTATGAAAAATTACTCATTATAAAATGCCCAAAGTTTATAAAAACCTTACCTTCTTTCATAGATTGATTACTATCAGAAAAATTCAGTTTTGTAGCGGACGACAGTTTGTCTTTCGGCGGGTCCGTATTTATTACCCGTCTAAACGGCTCCAACACATCATTGAACAGTGACATGTCTCCTTCTTTAGCCATATTGGCACGGTTGTTATAATATTAAATTCTATTTATATCAATTAAAAGTCATTATCTACCGAAAATTACAAGAAAATTAAAATTCCACGGAATACAACAACGCACGTACTTGTAAAACACTACCACAGACTAAAGAGGAATTTAGGGGAGAGGAAGAGAGGTGTCAATATTTTTACTTTTAGTCGATTTTAAAATAATAATTATTAAAATAATTAATGACTGTATCATTGAAGAAATTATCATAATCCAGCAATAATACTATTTTGGAGTGAGATGATTTTAAAATGGAGTTTATGATGTTGAAAACAAGACTTTAATTTGTAAAAACAATATCAATCAATATTGATCCCTTCCCTATTCACGAGATATTTATTGCAAATAGCAACACTGATGTTTATATTTCAAATTGTGTAATACTTATTATACTCTTTGGTTATGTTTATCAATTGCACATTTTGTCGCAAAAATATTTAATTTCATTTTGTGTTATTGTCGTCAGTGGTTTTTCCATAATATATAAATAAAAAAATGGAAGTAGATTCTGAACAATATTTTTCGAGCTATGAAGACTTGGATGTAATTATTACAACTTCTATAAAAACTTTGCAATGTGTTCATATATTTTCAAAATAAGTAATTTATTATTTTGCTACAGATACACAAGCTAATGCTCGAGGATGAACCGAGAACCTTAGCTTATAAGAATGCAATTTTAAACAACAAGCAGTACTTCAAAGACAAAGTTGTTATGGATGTTGGTTGTGGCACAGGAATTTTATCAATATTCTGTGCTCAGGCTGGTGCGAAAAAAGTATTTGCTGTTGAAGCCAGCAATTTAGCGAATTTAGCTAAGGAGATAGTTAAGGAGAATAATTTTCAAAATGTTATTGAGGTGAGGAACTCTAAATTTCGTATACTAACTGGATGGTTTTATACTTCCTATATTTATTACGGTGATCAGGAGTATAAAGTAGTAGTTAGGATCACCAGAATTATGTATAAAAAATATCATCTTGATGTGCACATTTCTGTGCATCGCTGGACATAGGCCTCTTCAGTTGTAAGCCATTGAGCCCTTAATCTAAAGCTTCTAAATTATTTATATCATACTTTAAAATAATTAATTGATTGATTCATATGTTAAAAACCTAACTTTAATTAATTATCTCCAGGTAATTCACAGCAGAGTAGAAGATGTAGAACTACCAAACTATATGAAGGTGGATGCTATTGTATCAGAGTGGATGGGGTTCTATTTACTCCACGAGGGTATGCTGGACTCTGTCCTGTATGCTAGAGACAGGTTCCTCAAAGATGGTGGGGAAATATTCCCTGAGAGTGCTACCATTTATATTGCACCATGTAGGTAAGATTTGTATTATAACATTTTATTAGTACAGAAGTACAGGTCTAGATATTTATTTATGCATGCAGGTCTTAAAAGAAATGGGCATGACATTGCTAAGAGTGCACTTCTATGGTTGAATACTCTCTACACAGATTCAGGACTAACCAGTCACTCCAATCTAGCTATTGCCAAAGTTATTTGAATAAAATAATATGCCTAAAACTAAAAAAAATATAAGTTACATCAAGTAAACTTGATCAAAACATACCACTGTTTTTTCTCCATTTTAATTTATGTATTCTACTTGCTTTTTAGTGTTCCCTCAATGTACAATCAATGGGACAATGTATATGGAGTATCAATGAAGTCGTTCTCCAAAGAGCTCCGAGCTAGTAAGGGTAGCAAACCAGAAATACTAACAATAAAGCCCGAAGACCTGCTGGGAACTGAAGTGGCACTCTGCTGGATCAATTTGAGAGAAGATGAATCACATGATTTGAATTCCTACAGCATTGAACATGTTGTTGGTAAGACAATATTTTTTTAACTGGTTGTATGTTTCATGACACCTAGAGTGGGATAACATACATTATTTATAAAATAAGAGGTTTTTGGATTGCCCTTTTGCATTTAGGGCATAGAGTTTACCTGATCCTTAAAAGAATGTATCCTACATAAATATGAGAAAAAATTAATATTGTTTATGGTGGGATACAGCTTGACAGTTTTGTCTAAATTAATCAAAATAAATGAAAAAAAATATTTTTTGTGCAATATAACTATTTATTTTTTATTTAAAAGTGATGTGATCAAGTGATGCTTTATAAAATACACTCACTGAATAGCAATTGTAGCTAATGAGTGATGTATTTTTAAATTATTATAAAAATGCTGTATCAGTGCATAATATTTCGTTCCCCTCTTAATCAGATTGTTAAAATGAGAAAAAATCTGAAACATTCAATGATGACAAAATTAAAACATAAATTTTTAGGAATGGTAACTAAATATCAATGATATTTTGCTTCCAATGTGAAAAACCTCAGCACCTGTAATATAACTCTCATTACATTACACCTGTAAGATAACTGTTATAACATTCAGAATAATTTTCTAATTAGTGATTACACGTTTGGCGCGGTGGCTAGACAACCAGCTGCCGCGCAGTGTGTCGCTGCTCGATTCCCGCACGGCAATACTCTGTGTGATCCACAAAATGTTTTTTCGGGTCTGGGTGTCATGTGTATGTGAACTTGTATGTTTGTAAAAGGAGAAAATCCTAGTGTGGGGCAACATTTTCTGAAAAGAGAAAGAGAAGAGAGAGGGGCAATAACATTTTTGAAATTATTTACAATGTAACAACTATGTAATATAAAAATTACATACAGGTGCAAGCAAAAACGGTTTCTACCAAGGCCTCTGCCTATGGTTCGAGTGTAATTTCCCCGAGCTTCCAAATGGTACAGGAGACAGTCGCACGGTTCTGGACACAAGTCCACAGAGCCCGGCTACTCATTGGAAACAAACAGTCATAGTGCTGCCGGACCAGCTCGAGGTGGAGGAAGGTGAACCTATTGCCTTCCAGTTGGAAATGACAAGAGCTGATGCAACAAGTAGAAGGTAATATATTTCTTTTAACTTACTGCTCATTAGCAGCTAGTTCCTTTTATCTCATTGCTAACATATCCTAAGTTATATTGATATGATGAACTTAGAGAGGTAATGCAGCAGATTTGATTGGCAGCAGAATTAATAATACTTTGCCATGTCAGCTGTTAAACTTCATCTATTAACTAAATTCGGTCATCAATCAGTATAGTTCTACCTAATCCCTTTATCACCACTTCATATTCATACTACCTTATAATATGTCCATTATTTATTCGCCATCATAACATACCGCTTTTATTTCCCCAGATACAACCTCCTAATGACGATGTTGGACCCCGAAACAATAGAGCACCCCCTCCCCTGTTCATGTCACATGACCACGTGTATATTAGCTAAAACCTTCATGAAGCAACAAGCTGAACACGCCATCGCACAAAAGAAAGAAGAAGATACGTCCGTTCTAGTTGACGAAGAGATTAATGATGATGACGAAGATGATAATTAAACAAAAACAAATTATGACATTTTATAATTGTTTTATTTGATAAATAACTAATTTTAATTGTATGTACATTAGATTCATTGTTGAGATAAATGCTAACTATCTATGCTACGTGAGCAACAGTTAGTGATATAGTAATTTTAGCTCTCTTTGCTGTCCTAGAGGGCGTCAGCGTCGCTTTTGCTCTCTAGGTGCACTTTTTGCTTTGTGCAGAATACGTCATTATGAGATTGTTATTTAATATTACAGTTTTAATTAGTGCTTTCTGCTAAATATCATAGGCATTTTAAATTATTTTAGGCACAATATTAGTGATGTAGTGATCTAGGACTATTCCTCAAGAATAGATATAAAGTTGGACTCTTATTCCGACATGGCATCTTGCAAATGGTCATGAAAGAGATCTCATGTCTCCAGAAAGGCACTGATTAAGTTCAAAATACATGAGGAAATATTTCTCTTCTATAAATCTCATTTTCATTTCATCAGTACCGCAGCATATTAGTGACAGACTGCGTCAACTGCGCCTCTCCACTGAGCCACCTGTTATAGTCCAGTCTCATTAGAAGTCTTGCAAGGTACACACCACAAGGCCGATCACGAAGAGATACGAGTAGCTGCATTAGCTGTTTGACTAGCTTGCTGAATCTGGAATAAAAAATGGTATAAGATTAAGTAATCACTACAGAAATACAGTTGCTTTTGACAGAAATGCATATTGAGGGTAATTATAATACACTAGCTTTCACCCGCGGCTTCGCTCGCGTCACAAAGGATAAAAAGTAGCCTATGTGACATATACCAATACATACAGCGCCATCTATACCAATACTTTTGTTTTCCCTCGGGAATATCAAATTTTTCCAGGATAAAAAGTTACCCTACTATTTAATCCTGACTACTAACTTTACGTCAGCAAAAATTCAATGCAATCGGTTTAGTAGGTACGGCGTGAAGTCGGAACAAACAAACTCACTTTCCGATTTATAATATTAGTAAGGATAACGCCAGTTACTTAATAACTTGGATGTGTTGGTAACAATAGCTATAACTTCTGACAAAAGTTACTGAATTTTAAAAGCTATAACTTTATTTCCAACCCAAAAATCTAACAGAGACCTTTGGCACACTTGGTACTGTAGCAGTATAAAAATAATTTGATTAAAAAAACAATGCTTTCAAACATTCAACACGGTCCAAACAGAAAACAGCAAAATACTTCCGAAAACATTGAATACTCGTAAGTTCAAAACTTCAAATACTCATAATGCAATACTTACCGATCAGAATACCCCTTGATGTAATAGTCCTCGGCCTCCTTATCATCGACAGTGTCGTTCATCCCGCAGAATGAATGACACAGCTTCAGCAGCTCCATGATATTGCAGAACACTGGATTGTTCAGGGAGTCTGTCAAATCTGAACTGTCGCTCTCACCTGACTGTGAATATAAAAATAAACAATTTAGGTTTCATTGTGGCAATCGAACATACGGATCACCTGATAGTCAGCAATCGCCACCATCCATGGACACCCGCAACACCAAAGTACGAAAGGCTAGTGCGTTGCCGGTAGGATGTATGTATTACGTTTTTTAGCTCGCCACAACCTCCCAAAACCGCTGCAACTCCTATAAGCCATGATCTACAGTAGATACAACCATGAAAACACCGGAACACTGAAGTCCGGCGTCCCAGGGACATGAGTAACTGTCTCGGTTCCCGCAACGAAGTGAATCAGAAGATATTATAAGAGGAGAGAAAGAAAAAAAATGTGTGTATTACGTTCTCGTTAATTATGTTGTACGGCTGACACATTACTATTTGTCGAGGTAAATTAACAGTCGCTTAATATTGCTCATAACTATGAGCCCTAGATGTAGCTCGAATCTAGTTGAGTTATCTAATCAAACAGTTACTTTAGTAAACCGTAAAAAAATTATTATTTTTCATGATGGTACTCTAACAGCACAAAAATATTACGTTTTATTTGATGCATTCACTTACAAAGTACATAATAGGTAGTAGATGACTTATACTATACTGATGTACTATATTGATTTGAAATGTCGCGTGACGTCACTTTTATTTATTTATTTATTTATATAAAACCTTACCTAAACTACCATTACAGGTTTCTCCATTACGATAGCTAGGCCTTAAACTAAATCTATGTAACGTCCAATTATAACAAAATCATAAATTAAAAAACAAAAATGAACAAATTCTTGGCTAAACTAAACTCAATAATCGAAAATACAAATAAAAAAGAAATTTATGTACATTTTATACGTAGAAATGACGTTTTTGCCCCCACTCCTAAACTTTGATTCGTTATATCTAAGTATTGTTTTATTATACGACAAAAAAATAGATGTCTAATATTTTGTCATTACATAACTTACGGACTAATTAGATTTTTAATTTTCATACCCTATCATCCCAATTACTATTTCACGATGACAAATCTGAAAGTAACAGTTATAAAAATAAACTCACAGAAGTGACAGTAAGAAACGACTGACTGAGTACATCAGCTAGGAAGTTCGCGTGTGCCTTCTTTAGTTTCTCGAAGTCATTGGTCTTGTGCACCGCGTCCATGAGGCGGGAGAAGTTGGTCTCTAGTACATCTGCTTGCATATAGTGCTGTAGGTTGTCCATCAGGAACATTAACTTGTTGTGTAACTGGCACATTTGGAAGCTGGAATGGGTACAAAAAAAACATAATAATATTATGCTACCATGACTACTTAGGACTGAACTTTTTAACTGCGCTACTATTTTAAATATAATACGAATTTTTCGACAATTCCCATCACAGTAGAACCAAGCAATAATCTGATTTCACTGATCGCCAAGAAATCGATTTAAAACTTTATTTGGCAGTGGCGACAATTAGGTAGTTTCCTAGGTTTAAAATAAACGTTTCAACTTTTTAGTGCAATAAATAATTAAATTAAATTCACAGAAAAGTATCGTTTTTGACAATTCAATTAAAGTATTGAATTTGACTACCTGTCAACTACCGTAATCAACTAACGAGATGATTTCAAAATTCAATAATGATAGGGCAACATATTGTTCGAATAGGAAATTAATTTCGAGACTTATCAACCACACAACCAAATATTCAAGAATAAAAACTCTATAACACCGGTATTTTTGTGTCGAAGATTCTAAAAAGTAACTCACCTAGTCGACTGCTTATAAGTTTTCCAAAGCGCATGCAAGTCATGTTGCGTCTTCTTAATTCGTAACAAGAGACGGAACATATCGTTGTACCGAGCTAGTACTTCTGGCGTAAACAAGAGGTGTAGTGGCCATTTGAAGTCATATTTCAGGATAATACTGGACCAGCCATCTGCCACTGAAATGTTATACTCAAATGAGAAGATGTAAGGTCGAAATTGCATTAGCAAATCGTGCCAAGTTTTTTGTATCACAAGTTTGTTTACAGGTTTTCATTCCGGTGTTTTTTGTACTAGAGCCTCTAGAGTGTGAATGGAGCATGTATGATGTTTATTTACAAAAAAATATGTTCGTTAACTTCGCTAAAACTTGAGAACATTATGGACCCAGAGCTGCATAAAATGCTTGAAACCAATTGAGTCAAATTGTCAAATAGTTACGTGAGTAAAGTTCTACTATAAAACGTAATTAGATTAATTAAATTTCATAAGTAGAAAAAACATTCATAAAGGTTTAATTACTGCAAAATGAATTAATTTCTTGAGATTCCACAATAAAACAACATTTTATACGAACCCGTAGTACTGTCATCGTCAATACTCGCGTTAGCTGAGACATTTGGCTTCACATACGGCAATTCGAAGCTGAACTTCTCGATATCCGCGCTGTTACTAAGAAACACTGCTCTTGCCGCCAACTGGAACGCGTGGTTCATATCTGAAAAAAAAACAATAATTAGAATTCTGCATTTTGTCTCCAACTATATGGGCTCCGTCATCACCAGTGGGCGTTTAGAACGAGGTTTTTTTATGGGGTAAGCCGGTAAACGAGTAGACGGATCACCTGATGGTAAGCAATCGGCGTCGTCCATGGACACCTGGAACACCAGACGCGTTACAAGTGCGTTACCGCCCTTTTCGAGATTAGGAGTTTGAGGATCGTTGGGGATTCAGGAAGTGGGGAGATTGGGGAAGGGGAGGGTAATTGGGCCTCCGGTAACCTCACTCACACGACTAAACACAACGCAAGCGTTTCTTCACGTCTGTTTTCTGTGAGGCCGTGGTATTACTCCGGTCGAGCCGGCCCATTCGTGCCGAAGCATGGCTCTCCCACACTTGAATTATTAATTGAATTATTCCGCTTAATCTGCTAATGGCTAAATTACTAACCATCTTGATCAAAAACTCTATAATGCTCTAAAATTTTGACAGGAACTACAAAAAACGTCAGAAATTAGTGTCGGTCGTAAAATAATGCATAGCATAGCATGAAGTCTAAACTATGCGCCATTTCTCTCAGAAAATCAAAACATACTAGGAGAACACATTCCTCTCTCACGATTACATAACATAACATAACATCACGCCTTTTATTCCCGAAGGGGTAGGCAGAGGTGCACATTATGCCACTGTACAATGTAACACCCACTTTTCACGATTTATGTTATGAGTCCCATGTAATTCCTCTCTCACGATTGAATATCAAATATTCAGTTCTAAGTTAATAATAATAGTTAGGAGTAATTAATTATTCCAAGACTAAGTATTTATTTAGTACTAGCTGTGCCCGCGACTTCGTTCGCGTGGAATAGTGACTATGAGCAGCGTTTTTTTTTTTTTGAATATATACTCACGACGTGATTCTTTAATTTGACATAACTTTTTTATTTATGAACCGATTGACATGAAACAAACACTAAAGCATAACTGAAGCATACCACAATATATTCGTGAAAACCGCATCCAACTCGGATCAGCCGTTTCTGAGATTAGCGTGAACAGACAAACAGACAAAAAAAAAGTTAATTACATTTTTGGGTTCGACATCGACATAACAGTAACCCCTGCTATTTTTTTTATTTTTATTTTCAATGTACAGACAGCACTTTTCTACAATTTTATTATATGTATAGAAGAATAGATATAGATAGATAGATATTTTAGTATTTTTTTTTGAAGTTACCTCTAGTGGAAGTCCTAGCTGTGGGTTTGTCCAGCATGTGAGCAGTAAGTCTTAATAACTCGAGAAACAGTTCCCCTCGTCCAAGCAGGTAGAAGTCTTTCATCAGTCTCAGTTCGTGTATTAACTGCGCTTCCTCTACTGCCACTGTCCAGAGATGCTGAAACATATATAAAACAAAAAATTGGTTGCCTGTAAAGTCGGTATACGGGCAAAAGTTTTACGTGGCAAGGACTTTGAGTGGTAAAATCATTTTAATGTGAATATTCATTCGTATAGTAGGAAGAAGGATGAAATAATGAAGCGCAAGACATGAACCGGTGTGTATGCCTATCTCTCTCACTCTCTCTCTCTCGCTCTTAGGCGGGCTAACTGTGCTCGAGTGGAAGGGACGCGTGCCTTTCACTTTTTATGTCTGTCTCTCTCGCTCTTAGGCGGGCTAACCATGCCCGAGTGGAAGGGACGTGTGCCTCTCACTCGCTCTCATTGTGAGCGCATAACGTGAGCGGAGCGTAACGCAGTTTCTAGAAGTGTCACCCGGCAAACCAATTTATAAGACGTTGTCACGTCAAAAACATAACCTTTTGATTCGCCGTAGTCGAGTAAAAGATACGTTTTATCTCATCCTAATTCGGTTCATACCGTGAAGTACAAAGAGAATCTAGGTACTATCGACAAAGTTTACGGTAGTACACTACAAACAAAATTCTGAGTCAAACTGGCTATCTACCGGGCGATTTTCCTGAGGTCGCTTGCGCCGAGTGCATGCGAATATCGTCTAATGATGGTCGACAGCCAATTTTGTCGATGGTACTTCATACGTCGTGGAATGTGCATTTAGTTTCAATATTGGCTTTCAACAAAACATTATTTTAATACAAATAGAATGTCCAATGAAAAGGAAGTCAGAAGTAAAACTACATATACCTACAAACAACACACGTTATTATGATGTCATTGAAAAATGAGCTTTATTTTCACCAACCTTAGTAACACATTCCTTAATCTCCCTGATGACACCTCTCAGATTGCAAACTTCAAACACTTCAGGGTCTTTAAGTTTTTGCAACTTCTCATGGAATTCTGCCTCCTTGTCTTCCCAGATTGTAAACCTTGAATATAAAGAAATAATAAATTAATTTTTACGAATTTAATCGAATACTAAAACAATGATAGGTATCACATTCACATAATTATGATCACTATAGGAATTTCACACAAATATCTCCATTGGGTTAATCTTTGCTTAAAAGAAGATCTTTGCTTACCTTCTAGATTCCACCCCACACTTCTGCAAAGGTAATAAAGTCCTACTAGCAACAAAAGAGCTATTTTTCTTCATTTTCTTAGGATCGAAGCCGAACAAAATGATAGTCTTGCCGATGAACAAAATCTCCTGTGCAAGAGAGAGAGGCACAAAGTATGGGATCATACTAGTGTTTAGAGCATATCCACATTCTAAGGTCGTGTCTTGGAGCTGTAAAGGAAATTGAACTTCATTGTGTGCACTTTTAAGAACGAAATTGTTTTGTTAGTTGTATCACCGAGATGTGCTGTTTAGTAGTTTTTGAAGAAGCTTGTTCAAGAGCTTGAGAGTGTTAAAAATTACTATTATTTTGTTTTTATCTTATCTTATACTATTACTAGCGACTCTGACGCGGTATCACCCGATCTGGGTGCTTACTCCTGAATCCAATTCCAATCGATCGACATTGGTATTGTGAAATTTCGTACTCTCGAGTTGCGACACTAGCGCCCATTGCATCCGTATTGCGTGGATATTTAATGAACTAAATGGTATTCAGTTTGGATTTATATTCCGTACTCTGAATGCTACTTTAACGGCTACGATTGTGGTTGTATAGTGTTGACAATGAATAGTTATTGAGATTTTATTGGATTGAAGTTGCATTGACATTGAGATTGGTTTCAAGAGTAAGCACCCTGGTCGGCTCCTATTGATCGCTGTGTGAGGTTTTGTAATCTATAGCCTTCCTTGATAAATAGAATATCTACGATATATCGATCACATACGATATCATACGATACACATTTCAAAATAATTTTTTTACAATTTTTGTCTGTCTGTCTGTTTGTACTGGCTAATGTCCAGAATGACTGGACCGATTTTGCAAGACTTTCATTGGCAGGTACTCAGGTACCTGATGTACTAAAGAGTAACATAGTCTACTTTTATTTTTACGAATTGAACAAAAAAAGTTAGGTATGTTCTAAAATTCATATTCTATGTGGACAAAGTCGCAGGTAACAGCTAGTAAGTATATAAGGATAAAGATTTAAAATTAACTTTTATAAAGAGGATTATGGGATTATATTTCAATATCTTGCCTCAAATTTAAACTCAAAAATAATACAATTATACTTAGTTATAGTACTTACAGTAGAAACAAGTGACTTATCACAAGTATTTGTAGAGGATGGGGAAGATAGAAATGTGTCGGACGGATCTTGAGCCTGACTATTCAGTATAAAGAACTCGTGGTACGGATCTTTTAGTTCTCCATACAAGAGCCAGGTGCAGAGCTGATTGACAAATACTTTATTCACACAGGAGAATATTCTGGAAAAAAACATCTAATTAGGATGAAAAATCATAGACCTGTCTACATTATCCCGTTGTGTGCCCGAAACGCAGATCCTACGAGACACAATGTATTTTCTATATACCGTGTCTTATACACCGACAGTTAAGAGTTTAATTGTGATATCATTATCTTCTATATATATAAAATCTTCTATCTTCTTCTATATATATAAAATTCAAAGGTGATTGACTGACTGACTGACTGACATAGTGATCTATCAACGCACAGCCCAAACCGCTGGACAGATTGGGCTAAAATTTGGCATACAGATAGATGTTATAACGTAGGCATCCGCTAAGAAAGGATTTTGATAATTTCCACCCCCAAGGGGGTAAAAAAGGGGATGAAAGTTTGTATGAAACTTTGTCAGTTTTTAACTGATCGGGTTGAAATTTGGTATGCAGATAGATGTTATGACGTAAGCATCCGATGTGAAAGGATTTTGATAATTTCCACCCCCAAGGGGGTAAAATAGGGGATGAAAGTTTGTATGAGACTTTGTCAGTTTTAAACCGATCGGGTTGAAATTTGGCATGCAGATAGATGTTATGACGTAAGCATCCGTTGTGAAAGGATTTTGATAATTTCCACCCCCAAATGGGTAAAATAGGGGATGAAAGTTTGTATGAGACTTTGTCAGTTTTAAATCGATCGGATTGAAATTTGACATGCAGATAGATGTTATCACATAGGCATCCGCTAAGAAAGGATTTTGATAATTTCCACCCCTAAGGGGGTAAAATAGGGGATGAACGTTTGTATGAAGCTTTGTCAGTTTTACACCGATCGGGTTGAAATTCGGCGTGCAGATGGATATTATGACGTAAACGTCCCTTTAGAAAGGTTTTTGAACATTCTCACCCCAAAGTGGGTCAAATAGGGGGTGAAAGTTTGTATGATACTTTGCCAGTTTTAAATTGATCGGGCTGAGACTTTGCATGCATAAAGTTACTATGACATAGGTATCTCTTTAGAAAGGATTTTGATAAATTCCACCCCTAAGGGGATAAAATAGGGAATGAGAGTTTGTATAAATCTTCTTAGCCGTTGAATTTAGAATCATTGAATCTTTTTGAATTACATTCGGTAAAACGATGATTTGGGACCTGGGTAACGTATGATAGTTTTTTCACAGATGTCTCACGAGAACGGGAACTATGCGTCAATGCCCCAGGACTCTCTAACTCTTAACCACTGAACTTATTCTAGAGAGATTCGGTACAATAGTCGATAGAATAGTTTTTATTACTCAAACCTTACGTGATCGGGCACTGTACTGGTAATGATTATTTATTTATTGAAACTACGATAAATCATTTCAAAATAGGTAAATCTTACTTGGGCACTGAATTGATTCTGGTTAATTCTGTCAGAAGTCATTAATCTACGCGGACGAAGTCGCGGGCAACAGCTAGTTACTTTATAATATTCTGAAGTTTATTTTGTACTATTACATAAAGCAGTATTTTAAAAATAAAATAGAATAGCTAAAATTTTAAACCAGCAATGAAATAGGTTTTTTACATTCACGTTACCATGTTAATTGCCATCTGATGCTAGCAGAGGTTTGACAGTCATCATTTTTAGGTTGAAAGTCAAAGTACTAAAGTAGGTAAAGCTTATGTCGGAATACTGAAACGCTACTCAATTATAAGTCGTTTTTAAGTATAGTTCTATCTCTACAAATTCTTTGTAAAATGACAGAGATGGCACTATATTTGAACACAACTTAAAATTGAGTAACAATTCAGTATTCCGGCATGAGTTTCCTACAAAGATCTAATCACCAACTTAGCACCATTTCAAATTAAAAACATACCTTAGAATGGCTTCTCGAACTTGTTCACTGCCATTCAAAATATACTGATGAAGTAAGCTCAATATCTGGCATCCAGTTAGTTTCCGATGTTCAATAGTGGATATAATCTTATTTAAAGTGTTAAACAGTCCTTGGTACTTCTCTACGTAGCTGTATACAAATGATAGAGTGTAATTATGGTTCCCAATCACTAGGCTCTCCACTTCCATTAGATTTTGTTTATATGATTGTAGAACTTCTGCAAAACCTTCGCTGAGAGCTTGCGAGTACAGGCCACATAGTTTGAGACCTAGGAATAGAGGAAAATTTCTAATAATATCATTGAATAATCCTATTAAACTGTAGGGACACAATGTACACGTCACGCTATGTCAGCAACTATACAATAACGCGCGGCTGCGCCCGCGATGCATGTATTAGACAGTCGCAAATAAACCACGATCGGAAATAGTCGTTTCAATTAACCTCACCCCAACACACAGTAGAACACGACCTACACTACCCCAAGTTAGTGATAGGGAACAAAGACTCTAAAAAACTATTAGTATTATAAATGTGAAAATTTGGTTGCGTTTGTTTGTTACTCCATGTCAGAACACCTGAAGAGATCAAAATGACATTTCAAACTAGGGTAAATTAATGTGTGGAATAATATGTAGGCTACTTTTATTCCTCAAGAATACAGGTGAATCCGCTGGCAGAAGCTAGTAGTACATATTATATAATAATTAATGCTTATTGTTAGTGAAGAAATGTAAGAATATTACAGACAATAGTTCTTTTTTATTATTCGGTCATAATGTTGAAGACTTGTCCTTCTAAGGTATACAAACCCATATGAGCCTTTCTGGATCGGAATCCAGTAGCTTCAACAAAACGTTGAATTTTATGGTGGCTCTTGGCTATGTCAGTAATCCTGCCAAACATTTCTGGATCTCCTTGGTTGGCGTATGTTACAAGCTCTTTCTGCAAAGAGGTAAAATTAAAATATAATTTCTTGTATCCTTTTGGTAATGAATTAAATTTTAATATTTGTTGAACTTACCTGTCCTTCCACCGTGTGTGAGCAATCCCAAAGGATTAATAGCGCATCGTGAATCATATTTGTTATTTACTATTTACTCCTTTTAAACTAATACTCCAATTTATTTTAGACCTACAAATAAGTAAATTTTATTATTTTGTACAGCATAAATTCGGTTTAAAAGTACCCTTAACTTAAGATTGATGACTAGGGCATGTAAAACCGGTTTTCCGGTTTTGCGCAAAACCGGAAATCGGCCAAAATTTTACGATTATTGAAAACCGGTTTTGAGAGCCAAAACCGGAGCTCAGCTCCGGTTTTCCCATTATTAAGTAACAATTAACATTTTGTTTTAATCAAATTTTTTTCAAACACTCTTACAAAAATAATTAATATTGAGGCATTAAATGTATCCGAACCGAACACAGCCTGCATCCACCCATTTTCACGCCTCCCTCCACTACCCCCGCCTGATGCTTAACTAAATGAAGTGCATTTTCGTAGTCGATAAAACATATTATCAGCACGTCCGTTTGCATTTCTCTGCATTTTTGAAGAGATGGAGATTCTGAGATCGTTGAGGGCGAATAAAGCTTCACGGGTGCCTACACCAGAATGAAATCCGAATTGGCTGTCTCCCAGTTGTTCGTCACACTTTACTCTTATTCTGTTCTGTATGATGTTTAAGAACACTTTTAGGACATCTCTCATTAGACTCATCATCTGGTACTCTCCATATTTTGTTGCATTTTGTTTTTTGAGTATTGTAATGAACGTAGACTTTAGCCAGTCATGTGGAAGAATGCCAGTTTCGTAAATGTTGTTGAAGAATTGGTCAAGTACTTCCTCCAATAGCTTGAGAATCTCGATGGGTAATATGGGTATGTTATCTGGTCACGTAATATCTCCGATTTTAAAATAGTTGGACCCGTGTCATCAGTAATTATTTGGATATTTCTTGATGGGTCTGCGAACATCTCTGAGCCTGCACCCCGCAGTTGATTATTGATCTCTTTTTTAGTGCAATATGAATCATATTATAATAATATTATTTTGTAGTTTGTCTTCAAAGTTACAAAAATAATGTTTTTTTTTTTGGTAATTGTGGCTGGCTGTATTTAATATTTAAAGATGCTACTTGTGTTTTCTATGTTTAAAATATATTATTTTTGATAGCAGACTTAATAGGTTCCAAAGATACCAAAAACTTATTTGTTGTTGATTTGATCTCAGTTAAATAATTTTTATACTATTATAAGTTCATTGTTGTGAATCACACAATTTGTTTTATTTGTAGACTCAGTGGGTATTTAAAAAAACGGTTTTCTTTTTTAAATTAACTACATTGGATTTTTTTGATAAAACCGGACCTAGCTCCGGTTTTCGGTTTTGGTACCAAAAAAACGATGTTCAAAACCGGTTTTGATGACTTTCCGGTTTTACATGCCCTATTGATGACTGTTGATGAAGCGAAAAAGGTATATAGGAATCGTAGTAATTAGCGTTCCCTAGTCACTGCCTACCCCTATGGGAGACAGGCGTGAAGTTATGTATGTAAATTTGGTTTCCAATTTATTAAGATTTATCTAATAAAAGCAAACACCCACAAAAACTGGAGGAGATTGTGCAGGTCTTTTTCTATTTGAACTATTGTCAGCATCCATGGGATCATTCACATCATCGTGTTGGGGAGGGTGATAGTCATTAGAGGGATGAACATTTTGTCAGGAGAGTCAGGGGGTTTTTTGTATCCATATTAAAAAGTACAGATACACCGAAAAAGATATGAGACAAATAAAATTAAAGAAAAAGAGGATTAGGGGATATTTTGCCGCGTTGAACCTAACAGGTTACCGGGGCTCTGGCTCGACCTGCAGGAGAAGGAACGTGGTGGTTTTTAGTCAGTAAAAGTCTGACATTCTCTCCCGCCTCAAAACTGCCTGCTCGCCTGCCTCGTTGGCGAGTGGTCGCAAGTGCGACTGCCGGGCAAGGGGTGTCGGGTTCGATTCCCGGGTCGAGCAAAGTACTTATTACTGGGTTTTTAAAAAATTCTCAGTAGTAGCACGGAGTCTGGAATTGTGCCCGGTATATGGCAATAGGCTCACCTCCTATTACATGGGACTCATAACATAACATAAAGTGGATGTTGACATTGTACAGTGGTATAATGTGCACCTCTGCCTACCCCTTCGGGGATAAAAGGCGTGATGTGATGTTATGTTAAAAAAGGGGATATTTTACCCACCTTACCATTAGTTTTTTAGTATATTAGACAATCACTCAATTGTGTGAGATAATGATGATTCACAGAGGTGGTTTCAACTTAGATTTCAATAAAAATCAATATTTAAGTTGAAAAAAAAAACAGAAACAGTTGGCTTTTATTAAATTTTGACATGACATGTTTTGATCCAAATGCTTTGACATTTGTTTTCAACAGATAGCAATTTTTATCATTCATTCAAAAGTTTTAGTCGATTTACAAATACTAAGTGAATGTAGCAAAACTGAAACTAGAACATAAACAAATAATTCAAAATATCACTTAAAACATCAAATTCATTACTTTCCACTAAAAACGGATTTCTGCAAAATAACGGATTTTGCAAAAACATGTCTAAACGAATAAACCCGAAAATGTTCATTGACCTGGCAGTAAGTAGTATTTATTATCTGTATGGTGGCGCTACGGAGTTCTAGAGCTTTGAGCTTTTATTGCAAAAGGGATCTACTAACTTTACATGTCTGTCTATACCTAAATGCGCTTGCGCCGCCCACGCTGCGCTGTGACTTACGACATTGAACTAGTATTGATTGTATTGGTTTGTTGAGTGAGACTGACGTTATAAACAATTTTCAATAAACAAAACCAACGGTTAATTCTGAAATAAAGTTATGTCGGAAAACTGGATGAAATTGCAGTTAGTTTGTTTGTTTTTAATATGTGTTTATGAATGAATATTGAGATTTGAGAATGGCGGAGTCTTGTAGATTTGGAAACCATAACATAGAAAGTAAAACATCAAACAATCACGATGAAAACTTTTGTATAATACATGTTTTATGTGTATTTATATCACTTGTAACGATATTAGCAGACTTGACGACAGGTGAGACATTTCTAATTATATTTAAGTAATAATCACTTAACGATACAAATACTTCTGTTATTATTTAAAATCAAACCGGTTCGAATAAATTAAATTGTATTTATTGTTTACTTTTTACAGATGTGATCGTTTTCGCCGAATATTGTAAAGATGGACATTTCTACTGGGCTTTCGGCACATTAATTTTTATAGTAACTCCAAATATCCTTATAAATATATTTTCAATCAGATGGTTTGTTACTGATCAAAAATCTAGTTTACGTCATTGGATTACTCATATTTGCCTGGTCGGTTTGCTGGAAAGGTAAAGGTCCTTTTTTTTCTAACATTCTACTTCAGTTACCTGTGTTTGAAGTTTTTATAAATGTCCGGTTTTGTTTCAGGTATATCATCTTTCTGCGTAAAGTATTTGTGTGCAAAAATTTAGAATCCATTAAAACTCATAAGTTGATTTCACAGAGAAATGATTTGAGTTTATTACATTTTTTGTATATTTTTATTGGAACAGTGCCACAAATAATATTACAAACGTATGCTATTGTAACTTTAGATGAAAATTATTATACGAAAGGTAAACTATTATACTTAGATAATAAAATCAATAGATTTTGTCAAAATTGCCTATTTTAAAGATAACTAATTGTGAACTGTTTACATTTCAGTTTTCGCTTTGACAGCGTCGATTGCCTCTGTTATTTGGGGCTGCGCTACATACATTTACAGTATTACAGCATTCTCCAGCGAGAACTTCAGTTGGTATTCAATATTACTGAAGCTTATATGGCACTTTGGAATGCTAATCGGGAGAATTCCAGGAATATTATTATTTGCTGTAGTATTTGGTATATGGACATTGATACCATTAGGTAAACCTTTAGATATTAATAAGTAGGAAATTTCTGTATATCTTATACTTTACTATTGTTTATCTTATTTACAGGGTTACATTGGTTTGCAATGACCTTTTGGATAGTAGTTCAGAAAACTACATTCTGCCCAAATAAATTAGAAGAAACTCTTTACAATGTCGTCATGGGCTTTGTATACTGCTTTTGCTACATAAACTTACGAGAAGGCCACACACGATACCGTTTGATGCTGTTTTACACTTTGATGATATCGCAGAACTTTGGAAGCTTATTTTTGTATGTGCTCATTTCCGATACTGAGCGACAAAAGAAATCATGGTCCATTGCAGCAGCCATCTGCATTATATTTGGTACGATAGTTGGTAAGTTTTACTTAAAATCGTAAATGATTTAAAAATGTATTAAAAAGACAAAACGGATCCGCTCACTAACTGAATTTTTCATGGTTTTCAGGCATTCTCTCCATGATATTATACTACCGATATTTTCATTCAACGGGACCAATATCATGGAAAAATGACGACATCGAACTTAACAATAAAGTCGCTGTACAAGAATCAAACAATAAAAGAGATCAAGGAACTGGCTTGAATCATGTTCGATCATTTAAAAGCTCACGCAAAAATGAGGAATCAAATCCTACTTCTAGGTATGTATATTAATGAAAACTTACATTTTACAACTGTGCTCAACTCTTGAAATACTTAACGAAATATATCTTTTCCAGCAAAGAATTATCAACTGAACAAGCTCAAAGACAAGAAAGTGATAACGCTGACAAAAAGTTCTTACTGGAACATTGGATAGCAAGATCTGGTACACCTACTTTCACATCGGCACCAATCGGGAATAATAGTTTGGAGGCATCTAGTATAGAATTTTACACTGTTGAAAATACAACACAGTCTGTTTTACAAGAAGAGGACTATAAACACAAGAATAACAAAAAGAGAACTATTTGTTCTCCAACAGAATTAACATTAAAGCTAAGTTCCATGGAGAATTTAGAAAGCTCAATAGACGAGATAACTTCGAGCAATTTAAATTTGCATAAAAGGAGAGGCATATGTTCTTCGGATGCTTTAAGAGACGATTTAACTAATGTAAACTTGGACGTTTGCAATCTAGTAAATGAAGAATTTATGAAAATGTTAAAAACTGACAGCTCGGTGATCAGTCATGATACAGATGGTTCTAATAAAAAGACTTCTTCTGATTCTATCGACATGGATCTAGATTTAAGTTTTAGTGATATTAATAGTTCTGATATAAACACTTTTAACGAAAACATTGTTCAAAAACTGTGTTTGAGTGCTCTCAAAAATATCAAAGTCGGAAATCAAGATGCGGATATCGAAAACATACAAAGGATAGCGTTAGATATACTCAAGGAAATGTATGCTAAAAAAGATAAAAACAAGATCGGAATAGGAACAGACCTATTCCCATCAAAACCACGAGAGCTAGATACACCGACTGAAGTTTTGTCAGTCCATGATTATGAAAATATATGTGCCGTAAATATAGCCCGCGAGGCATGGGGCCTTCGATCTTGGAATGGTTATTCCGATATAGAGAACTGGCTGCATGACGGAAGTGTAGTCAGAGATCGAAGAAGAGACACATTGACATCAGGTAGTTCTGAAATAAGTAGTTGTGTTTCACAAGAACTGAAAAATGCAATTTTAACTGCACCGCCATTTCCTAAAAAACCGCATACGTACTCTAATGTATTTGTGAAATTTGATAGAACAAATCAGGACGATTATGCAAATACATTGGTTTCGCATGATGATACCTTTTTAGCAAAGCCGTGTATGGCGGACGTTAGTAAAGATCCAAACCATTTAGAACCAATAATGGAAGAATTAGATGACTTAGGAGATATTGATCCGTCTAATAAGAAAAGACTGAACTCTGAAAGCTCTTTGGTTGCAACTATAGATGAAATTCGTAAATCGACAGCAACTAACTCTCCACGAAATTTGTATTATAGACGAGAACATTTATGGGATTCACCTCAATTTAACACATCTACAAAAATTGATTTAAAACAAGCCCTTTGGAAAGAACCGTCCAAGTTTGACTCCAGTAACATAATGGAGGCTTTACCAGAAAAAGAGAATTGTATGAGTATTGCGCAAAGAACGAAATTTGATGGTATAAAAAAAGAACTTAACGTTTCAAATGTGTCATCAACATCCACAGATTCTCCCACTGGAGAAATTGTTACTGTTTACAATAAGAATACTAGACGTCGTCAAAAGTCAAACTCAAGTAATATAAAAGTACAAAGTAAGAAAATAAACATTAAACCTGAACAAAATCGACATGATTTTTCTAATAAGGACATCGACTTTTTATGGCAGTTGGTTTCAGAAAGCTCCGTTCCCAGTAATTCTAACGAAGATTGTTCATCAAATAAAATATCGACATCTTTACAATCGCTGATTCAGAAAGATACTGCAATGCCTGTCGTTAATACTTCTACATCAAAAATATCGAATGTTAAGAAGGGAGCGAGAAGCAGGCCTCGCCGAAAGTTCTCTATTTTAAGAGAACGATTCGAGCCTAGACTAAATTTAAACTCAGATGAAGAAATATTATACAGATCTTGTGAAATTAGTCAGCCACAATCTGATCCCAGTGTTGTAAAAGTTAAAAACCAATTCGATGTAGACCAAGAAGTCAGAACTATGCCTCGAAAACAGAATTATGACAATTCGTCATTTGAAACGAATGAATTCCCACCAAATGCTGTGGGATGTGACCTAATCATGTCTAAAAATATTAAGGAAAAGCGATCTTTATTCATGAAACAGGTTTTGAGCCCACCAAAATTTAACACAAAGTTAAGACATAAAGTGTGAGTTGGTAGTTTAAATTGTTTGGTGACTATTAGTTCCTAGTATTTTTATATTTAATCACCAGAAGGAAAGTCAATGTTAACATAGATCTCAAAATGAGTGTAGTCATTTTATACTACCACTAAGTTACATTTTATACAATTTAGAAAATTTCCTTTGGTTTAAAACATTGTCTATAATATTGTGCAGACATATACAGTATTTAAGATTAATTATGATAGTGCAACTGGTGATGATATGTTTATAGAAATAGTCTTCCATATTGTGATATTATTCGAAATTTTTGTCTGCTGTAACTGTGTCATTGTATGATTGTGTTTTGTATTGTTGTATTTGTGATAATATTTAAGTATGGTATGATTACAAATTATGGAACTAGATAAATGAAAAATACATATCGGAAACTTGCCTTGTATTTTATGTTAAGCCAGTATTCTAGCTACTTATAGTTAATTCAATAAATGAAAAATAAAATGTACTATAATGATTGGGTGTATTCAATTCTATTGTAAAATAATGCACATTGAAATAAAAAAGTATTATTCATTTATTATAATAAATAAAATATTAAGCTGCCACTAGATTACAAATGTAGCTACACTAAATAATATAATATAAAAATATGATTCTTAGCATTTATAATGCTTTATAAATAGAAGTTATTATTCAACAATATTGGATTATCACATGATGCTACTATATTAAAAACCAATTAATATATTTTCCATTATTACTAACATATTACAATAAAATTGACAAATATTACTCTGAAAACAGTCTTCTTATACAATACAATGGCTCAAAATATAAATAGCAATAATTACTATGTACTAAATGTATCACTAAAATGACTACAAGCTAAAATACTAATTACATTGCTACCAGTATCCTATAAGAAAAATTGAAATACAGAATATAAGTTATTATTGAATTGGAATGCAGAATACATATTATTAGATTAAAACGTTAACATAAATAATATGATGTTGTTATGTATATGAAAATACCATAATGTATAATAATAGCGTTAAATTGGAGTAACGAAAAAATATTCAAGTTTAAGATAAAAGTATCACAAAACTTATAGATCAGTAGTCATAACATTCGTAAGGAGACGGATACGATGCGCGTTACAATTTCGGCAAAGGATATGATCATCCAGAGGATAACATCCTCTGCCTTCTGATTCTGAAGACAGTAGTAACCCACAGTCTTCACATCTGTAACATCTCACATGAAAGCTGCGATCCAATGCCACCACTCTTACAGTCTCTTCTTCACCTTCTTCTGGCATAATAGGCAATTCGCAAACACAACAACGTGGAGCAAATTTCTTATGGAAGTCTTCAATACAGTGAATTTGATTCATTGCATCAACAGTGAATGGTATTCCATCAAGACTTTTCCCACATACAACACAAGTAAAACAGTTGGGATGGTAAGGTTTACCAGTAGCTCGAAGTATTCTGTCTAGAATCGGCATGTCACAGACAGAACATTTTTCTAAGGTTTCATAGTAATCAGTTTCACAGTAAGGCTGACCTTCAACAGCATAGAATGGCTTCCCTTGTAAGTTTACATTACATCGATGGCAACAGAAGCATGTCACATGATACATGTTTCCCATTGCTGTACATCCAGAACTCTCACCAATTACTTTCCCGTCACATTTGACACATGTTCCAAAAACATCTAAATCTTGACTGTCTGTTATAGATTTCACAAGCATATTAGTAAGTGCATCAACCTCTTCTTCTTTATGAAGTGGTGACTTGCTTGTGTTAGACAAGTTATTGCGGTAGTTGTGCAGTGAATTAGACTGAGATGACATATTACTGTGTGGGCGTGGATTAATAGGTTCATAAAGTGATTCATAAGTTGAAGATTGCGATGCTCCATATTCAGGAAACTCATTCTGATAGATAGGCGGATAACTTGGCCTTTCTTGGTTATAGTTCAAGTTTGTAGTGGCTCTGACTAATTCACTGTAGTTAGAACTGACAGGCGATGGCGGTGGCAAATATTCTTCGTTATTTTGATGCATGTTATATGGTTTCGATGATGAAATTGAAATCGAGGGTGGTGGCGGTGGTGGTGGTGGTGGTGGCACCGGAGGCAAGTTATCATTGCTTCTATACGGCGGTACATTGCTGTATGTTGCATTATAAGTTTTAGGTGGCATGGGCAAGTTTTGTCTATACGAATGGTTAAACGATGATAGATTCAATTGATTAACATTGGCATAATCTTTATGAATATGAGGCCGTATATTGCCTGGAAGCGGATTCCTGTACGTCAAATTATTACTTGCAGGTGGCATAATCATAGCCGAATATGATGGCTCGCATATAGTGCTAACTACAGCACTGTGTGGAACTTGCGGTTGAGCCTTCTTTTTTGGTGGCACGGCTGGTGGTATCTTTTTTACTTTTCCAGTGGCATTTAAATCTTTAGCCATTTGTAACTCGGCTAATTGCTTTTCCAGTGCGTCAATGTTATCAAGTCGTGACATTTCTGTTATATTATTATTGACCTGATAATGAAAGAATGACAAATGAATGTGAAGATTTATAAATACCTTGGTATTTTTGAGACTTCCTTTATAATTGGCAAATAATTTTGTTAAAATCACATTATTTTATGAGTATCATACAATTTATATAATGTATAAAGACAATGCTTTCCTTATCTCGTCTCCACTTGTCTTGATTGCCTTACTTTGGTACGACGATGACATGTTCTCAGCACACGTCATAAATAGATTTGCAAATTCCAGCGCATGCGCTGCATTCATTTACAGAGCATATATAGACCACAGAAAAAATATAGTAAAAAAGTGTTCTATCAAATAAGATAAAAAAATATTAATATTATGCGGGTAAAAAAAGGAGGTATGTTTCAATATTAAAAATCGATATGATTGTACTAAATGTAAATTAATTGAATTAAAATGTACACAAAGCACCGCTAATTAGTTGCAGCGCTACACATCGACACAACTGTCATTTACACAGTGTGCATGTGTGCGTAATTTCATATAACTGTATATAAAAATATTCGTCCACCACGTTCACATTGGTATTTTCATTCTTGTGTCGGTATACGTATTTTTATAATTTAATGCATAGGTAAGGTTAAAACTATTTACAATCATTGATATGACCCGACATTTTCACTGTCATTATCGTAGTGCTCGTGGTCGATTGGTTAATGAGCACGCTTTTATCGTCTTTCAAGGATCAATGATGTGGGTTCTATTCCAGCTAAAAGTTAATTTTATTTTACCTTGTTATTTTTCTTATTTTTTTTTTGTTTTTTGTCATAAAATATAAATATCAGGCTATAAAAGAAGCAAATGAGTTGGTAAATAAAACAATACTATTTTTTATTACAATTAATTTATTTATTATACAAATATGTTGTTTTATATTCAATATTTATATCTAATAATTAATTATATACCACATGTTAAGTTTAAAGTTCTTTAAATCATAATTAATAGATATGACAATAAACCTCATAGTCGAATCGGGAAATATCATGCGGTACAGCGGTAATACGATGGCAGCAACATTTTTTATTAAGTAGGTAATAAACAAATATACAACATTCTTGTTTTGTAATTTTAATAATATAATGTATTATTAAATTACAGTTTTACAGTAATAAACAAGTAAAACATGTAAAAAATTACACTGTCAACATAATATTTCTTGAAATGGGCGACTTTTTGTCGTTTGAACTTCCATTAATTATCTATTTTACGACGGTTGTTATAAGGTTCAATATTCAGTGGGCTGTATGATAGTAAAAAGAATGTGACGAATGCTATGGAACGATTTTAACTTTCATGACCTTTAGAATCAGGGAAACTTTAAATTAATTGAAGATGGGCGTAAATATAATATGTCAATCAAGTTCGAAAGCAGTTAAATAAATTTGTTAATGAAAAATTAAAGTGAAGTGAATAAACATGTTGAATAGAAAGAAATTATGACAATTTCTAACCACAAAACAATAACATCACTTCACCGTATGTTAGACAGCATTTTAATATTCTTAAAAAAATTAAACATTATTTTATGTTAATTTTAATAAAGGCAGAGTTTGACAGGCTCAATAATTGATTCCGAAATCAATACAATCACTGATCCTACAAGGCAGAAGGTTGCAATTCGTATACCTTTCTCCATCTTTTCTTCACAATATTTTACGCCCATCCTTATCCGACTTGAAAGTCTTTTCGTCGCTCAATATGATTACACTGTTCGCCCAATCAAAATTAATAAAGTCCTTAGCAAATTCTTAGCGCTTTTGCTGGTGAACCACAGATAACAATATTTTCTTCTCTGGCTTCCTGCACCTTAAACCAGAATGCAGGTGTCTCCGTACAGTTTGTATTAAAACATTCAGTGCTGTCGCTGTAGTGCGGGTTGGCAGGAACGGATCAGCCATGTGCCTGGCTACGATGTCGTAGTGCCGAGCCGATGAATTTGCCTTTGGTTTAGGCCCACGTCGACGATGTTTAACGTCACCGGTCTCCGCATATCTGTGCACCCATAACTGCATGGATCTCCTCTGTTGATACCAAACAAATAAGTATTTAAAATACCAGGAAATACTTTACAGGAATTAAAGTTACTTAAAAATAATAATAAATATAAGTAAACACAATGTTAGAATAATAATTTATAATTAAGTAGTGGCGTAAGGAATAAAAATCCCTAACCAGATATGTTTTAAAGAAACACTCCTAACAAAAACAAGTCAAGTTACAATACAATTAATAATAAATTATTAATATATCTTTATAATATTGAACTTCATAATAAGTTGCAATAATTATTTTATTCTAGTGCAAAAATTGATAGGTGTGTCGAGTTACAAAATGAAATAAATATTATTTAGAATATCAACGTAGTATCTTATTTACTCACCGATATCATTAAACGCCTTGCTATTTCAGTTATTGTTAGTTATGTTTTGCTCATGCAAAACAATGGTTTCAGCCTTTTTAAATGTTGATAGGTGTTGGAACATCTTGTAAAAATAAAAATAACTTTGCACACGAATATAAGTAGTGTAGCAATAAACTATGAAATCCTCATAAATTGACAACTAAGAACGCAATTATTTTGTAAGTCGGGTGATTTGAAAAACATGTTTTAAATAGTCGGTAGTTACTTCATAAGCGTGTAAAATAAAATGACTCGAGATTTCTATGGTCGCCACAAACATTGCAAATATACTCAGGTATCGAACCATTAAGAAATCACAGTTAATTACTTTTTTACTGTTTTTATCTTATTTAAGTTGGTTGAAATGCATGAAGCAAATGAGATTATTCTAAATAATAAATAACTAGAACTAAAATATAAATAAAAGATATTATAGGTATAAATAAATCTAAAGTATTTACTATTAAAATTAACATAAGATTTAGAACAATAGGAAAGGAAAAAAAAGAAAAGATTTAATTGTTTCTAATTTCAAATTTCAAATATTTGATAAATTAATTCTAAAACAACATGTGAATGTTGGAATCGATCCGGCGGCACTTTACTTGACAATTGGAGGCGATAACCATTGCGCCAAGCGCGCTGTAGATGAGATCATCGAAATATTTTATATCATTCAGTAACATAAAATTACAATGAGAAAGCACTATATTTATATGGGTATTGTATAGCTCGATCGTTCATTATTTTTGATTTCGATTTATTCAAAGTTTGTTATGAGTAATTTTATCTTTACCCTCGTTTTTATTTAAACTTATTTACTAAATTATTGCGTATACCGACACAAAAATGATTTTTAAATACCAAGATGTGTGTGATAGACGAATGTTTCTATACATATCTATTGATATGAAATTACCCACACATGTATATTGTGTAAATGATAGTTGTGTCGATGTGTAGCGCCGCTAACTAATTAGCGGTGCTTTGTGTACATCATAATTATCATTAATGCTGCCTGCCTCGTTGGCCGAGTTGTCGCAAGTGCGACTGCCGGGCAAGGGGTCTCGGGTTCGATTCCCGGGTCGGGCAAAGTATTACTGGGTTTTTTAAAATCTCAGTAGTAGCACGGAGTCTGGAAATGTGCCCGGTATATGGCAATAGGCTCACCCCCTATTACATGGGACTCATAACATAAATAGTGAAAAGTGGGTGTTACTTCTATGTACACCTCTGCCTACCCCTTCGGGGATAAAAGGCGTGATGTTATGTTATGTTTATGTTATTATCATTAATCGACTAAATACTACCAAGGTAGAGAGTGAATGAACATTAGTAACCAAAGACAACCGATTTTTTTGTTTATGGGCAACAACAACACCGACATTTAATGTTAGTCTATGGATAAAAGTCATTGCGAACAGTCAGGTTGTTTGTGTTCTGAAATTTATTTATTGTGAAACGCAGCGGTTTTCTATTTAGTGGTGGAAAAAATTTATGGCTAAATTCAAGATACTATCAAAAATATTTTGACCCTCAAAATGGCTATGCAATGCCAACTATGGATGGGCAGTGTAAGTATTGAATTGTCTTCAATACAACCGGTCTATTAAGACAAATACTACATTTACTACTCGATTATCATTTCATAATATACACATGTAGATTACAAAAATTTAGGTACTGTGGATCCAACCGATACTTTTCAGGAAATTAACACGAGTATATTTTCAAACTTCTCGTTGCTTGTTATTTTTCGCATGGTTATAGATGTTCATATTTAATAAACTACTCCTATTGATATTTATCGTTATCACCAACAGCCCATGACATTTCACTGGAGAACTTATAGGCCTCTTCTTTTTAAGAGGAATAATCAATATAAAAAATTCAGGTTTATCAAAAAGTGTTGTTACCCACTTCCTCTACCTTTTGTTAAACACTCGAAATTTTTAGCAACTTTCACACTGGGGGTCAATGGGTCACCATAGGGACGGATTTGCAGGAGTTGGAGTATACGCTTAGGGGCCCTACTAGTTGCATTATGCATAAACATTTTTTAATTTAATTAAGTACATCTTCCAATGATATTTTTTTAGCTGGAGCCCAATATGACGGAGAGCTTCATCATGGCTGCCTTCAACCGAATGGGACAGCGGCCACTGGCTGTTAAAGTGATGCGAAACAAATTCACTGGAGAACCAGCTGGATATGCCTTTGTACACTTTCAGGTATTATACTACCTTTTGCTCACTTATATCACAAATACTACGTATAATGTGAATATGCATAATTTTATATCCTGGAAATTTTGTTAGTAGAAAATTTATAAAAAATTGTTTTAACATACATAACATCACGCTTATTATCCCGGAAGGGGTAGGCAGAAGTACACATTATGCCACTGTACAATGTAACACCCACTTTTCACTATTTATGTTATGAGTCCCATGTAATAGGGGGTGAGCCTATTGCCATATACCGGCCACAATTTCAGACTCCGTGCTACTACTAAGAATTTTATAATACTTTGCCCTACCCGGGAATCGAACCAGAGGCCCCCATGCCCGGCAGTCGCACTTGCGACCACTGGGCCAACGAGGCAGTCTTGTTTTAAAAGGTCATAATATAACAGCCATTCTATACAACATTTTATTTGTAATATTGATTTTGATTTCATGGTGATAGGAAGTTTTGCTTACAAAATGTCCTATGTTTGACATGTCTATTGTGATAACCATCGTAAATAGTATTATGCACTTTACAGACAGATGAAGAGGCAATAGATGCCATGCATAAATTAAATGGCAAACCAATTCCGGGAACATTCCCAGTGGTGCGGTTCCGTCTGAACACTGCATCAAGGGAAGCACGTGCTAACATGCAACAAGAGAGGGAGTTCTCTGTATGGGTTGGAGATCTCAGCCCTGATGTCGATGATTACTCACTGTACAGAATTTTCGCATCAAAGTATTCTTCTATCAAAACAGCAAAAGGTAAGATTAAATAAGTTGATATGGTCTTGATATATTTTCTAAATGTTTGTTTAATTATAATTACAGTAAAATTAAGTACAAACAGTGGTTTCATATCAGGTTTATAACTTTTATTGACATTTCTGAATCACCAGTCTGAAACCATAGAGTTTTTCAAAGTTTAAAAAGGCTACATGGACAGCTAACACTATTTGCTTATTATTTCAGTAATCTTGGACAGCTCAGGATATACAAAAGGCTATGGTTTCGTGAGGTTTGGAAATGAAGAGGAACAGAGAAATGCTTTGTACGCAATGAATGGTTACACAGGTCTTGGTTCAAAACCTTTGAAGATTTGTACCGCAGTACCTAAACCTAAGTGTACTACCACTCCTCAGAACCCTTCGGCACCAACTACACCTAATTCTACGTTCAATAATGGAGCGGTATGTTTTTAAATGGTATTGTAGGGTGTATTATGATATACAATTTAATATATTTGGTGCCTAATAGAGATGTAGCATCATCAGTGACAATTATTGATTACTAGCGACTTCTTTCGCGTAGAATATGATTCCTGTTTTATCCCATGCATTAAATGCGGATAAAAATTCCTATCAACTAAGTCAGCCCAAACCCTTCCTGTATACCAAATTTCATCAAAATCCGTTCAGTAGTTTCAGCATGATTGACAAACAAACATCCAAACAAAGAGACATTCACATATTAGTGTGATTATTAACTCGTCGAGTACCGTATTTATAGACACAATTAAAGAACAATAGGTTGCGGTCACCGGTGACCGCTTGGTGTTTGACAGTTTAAGATTGTTTCTTTTTTGTAATTAAAACTTGTTACTATACTATACTATACCTTGATTTTAAACCCCACATTACACTAGTCACTCCTAAGTTTTGCACCATGTTCATATCCAATTTATTATTTATTACGTGGAACATCCATAGAGTCAAGGAATTGTAGATGGAGCATATACAAATAGTTTAGTTCTGTATATCATAATACACCCCTAGAACTAACGTGAATGCTAATTTGTGCGAATTTAGCTTGTAATGTGTTTAATTTCAGTGTAAAGCTTGCTTTCCAGCATCATTCATGGTTGCTTGGAATGAACAAGGATATTGTTATTCAGTTTTATAAAAATTGAAATTATTGGTACAAATACAAAATAAATAAGTAATACTGACTTTTTTAAGAGCTAAAACTTTGGTAGTCTTTACTTAAAGTATAGCATGTTGCATGGATAAATGATGCCAATAATTTCAATTTTCGACTCTGACAGTATCTGTAGGCCAACCGCTTATAGCTAAACATGAACCATCAAGAACTGCTTGAAGACGAGCTTGCATCTACATTGAGTTATAGAGAAGCGGACTCTGGATTATGGCTTGACGGATACACTGTCAGGATATAGAACATAATAAAGCAATTTCACTTTATAGGAGTACAATCAATACTATGATCCGTCTGCATACTGGCAGAACTACTCTGCGTGGTCTGGCTACTACGGGCAGGGCGACCAGAGCGCGGCGCCTCCGCAGACCGTCCCTGTAGTCGACCCCTCGCAGGTCACCGCTGTGAAGGCCCAGACTGATGAACTGGCTCTTGTTGGTAAGTAATTGTATGACTATTGATTGGTAATAAATATGTTTGTTGTGTCACCATAGATCTGACTGCTGCTCCTTTGGATATAAAACAAGATGGCAGGTTTGTAAGTCTGATCTGATTATAATAATCATTATATTTTATTTTTTTCTTAATACCAATTTAATAGCATTTCGCCTAATCAGACTGGCTTACGTAAATTAACATTGCATAATATTATGCAATGCGCTTTTTTGAGGTAAAATGTTCCATTTTCTTATACGAATAGCTGTTTATACCATGTAACATACATACAAATAACAACGTGAAATAGCATTTTATTCATAAATAACTTATCAGTGTCAATCTTCCGATTCATCTGATAACTAAATTACATGTCATTGTCAATGAGGATAAGATTACGTTTGTTTTCATACCAACCTCATGCTTTATTGAAACAACATTAACGAAAAAATAACAATTTCATTAGCTTATACAATCATACATACTAATTATATCACACACATCTATCTTATCTCTAATTAGGATAGGAAACAATGGAACACGAAAAATCTTTCTCTTTTTCTTCACACATATTTACCTCTATAATTTTTCTATTTATGTTTCCAGAGCACAAGAAAGTTATCGACGTTGATCTACTAAACCAAGAGTTTTTGGATCCTGAGTTATCGCTGTGGGACAGCCTGGAAGAGTCCCAATGGCTACCCAACGAGGTGGTAGAAGCGCATTAGTTATAACATTACTTTAAGTGACTTGGATATTGTGTAAATACATACTTTTACATTTATTTTCGTTGTATTATTTTATTACCTACTAAAATATAATACACATTTATAACTAAACTCAAAAGAAAGTATGAAGTTCTTAAAAAGTGGGTAGGAAATGTGTTCTTAAATGAAAGACTTGCCAATAATAATTACAAATGCAAAAATATTTCTCCCACGCTTTACACGCCTGTAATCAAACTATACAATGACGAAATCATTCTTCGCCAATTTATAAGCCACCAAAATTTTGGGGTACTTTCATAAACTGGCTACGTTGTTTTTCGGATGACATTTTGAATACATCTCTTATTGCTGGAGTATTTTGTGAGTATGGAAAAAAGAATAAGTGGAAAAATCAAACGTCGTTCAAAAATACTTTCTACCATGTTCCTAACTTCCTTCCCATTCACTGCGAGGGCCGCCCGGTGGACACGGTAGAGCATACGGTGGCGGTGTGCTCTGCGTAGGGTGAGCACCACCGTGTCTTCGGCGACGGCGATCTTCAAACTATGGTACGGAGCGAGGGGGATGCCGTCTCCTCCTTCTGCGAAGCAGTCATGCTAGCTAAGACGAGGCGGGGTGCGTAAGGGAACGAATCTCGGCGTCGGGGATCGTGAGACGACCTCCGACCACCGTATGCACGGGCCTGCGGCAAGCACGGGTGACACGCCGCCCGACCAGAACCAGGCCCGAGCGTACGGTGCGCCGCGTTCCGTGTGCGCGCCTCAAGGAGACATCAGACTACCACAGGTGGGACCCAATTGGGCTGACGCCGATACGGTGCCGCGGAGGGCTTGGGTGCGCGCTGACACTCCCTCTCGCCTCACCTAGGCGAGAGAAGTCATTGGATGACTTCCCCCCCCCCACAAAAAAACTTCCTACCCACTGCTTGTCATGAAGCTAAAGCTGTATTTAACGTTTCATTTGTCGCCTCTCATTTTTTTACTGTAATATTAATAGGAATGGCTACTTAGCAAAAAGGCCGCCCATTGCCCTTGAATAACATTTTAATAAATAAAACAAACGTTTGGAAGAACTCATTATTTTATTTGGTATAATAAAATAACTAGATACTAAACTAGACTCTTAACAATTTCAATATATTAACAAGTAGGTCACACTAGTATCAGTTTCAGTTGATTTTATTGGTGTATATTAATTACAGTCAAAATATGTGTTATATTTTGTATAAAAAACATCTGAGATCGGATAACAAGTTCAATTAAAATATTGAAATGTATCACATTACATTTTACTTCTACAATTCAACTCTACAGTGTATACAAAGTATAAGTAATCTCTTTTATATTTTGAACTTTTTATTTAACACTACTATTAAAGAGAGGAAGATAGAGAAAAGAACTGAAGATAGCACCTAGTTTTGTTTTTAAGTACAATATTTAAAACTTGCGAGTCTGGAGCTGGCTAATCGACCGTTAGTAGGCACCGAGTGAGTGCTTTCGGGATGCGAGTGCTTCGGAAAGTTCCTATGTCAAGGCAAGGAGTTCGGGTACTCCGGTTGAAGTAAATGGAACCAACTACCGATATTGTTAAGGTTCACACTCATCAAATTTAAATTAAGTCAGTATGTAAGTACTAAGTATTTGCAGTGCCATCTTCAGTTCAAATGCAAAAGCTTGAAGAAGGGAATCGGAGGAATGTATGAACCAAAAAGTACGTACAATACATTTAACAAGAAAAATAAATTAAGACCCTTAATTCTATAGCTTCTAATATACAAATAACTTATTTAAAATACATAGTGAGAATTGTTTTCCGTTTTTCAAAAACCTAGTTGCTATTGTCTTGTATAAAGGTTTTACAAAACTTAGCTGGTACCGATTATAGCCGATTCGCGACAAAATTTTCTAATGAGGGTTTCCATTTTATGCTCACTAGATGGTGTTAATAACGCATTAGGCACAGTAGAGAATAAACTAATATTAAACCGTTGGACATTCAATTTTGTTAGCTACACCAATTGGATAAGGTTGACTTAGAGAATGCCACTAGGCATTAAGTCCGCCATTGTATACCTATTGTACAAAATGTGTAAATAAATAAACAAAAAATAAAAATAGTGATGTCTTACCCTATATTAGTGCTACTTGGTAAAACGGTAGTAGCCACTTTTGTTAACTTAAATGTCAACTTACATAAATTAAGACACAATTTCTTGTTAATTCATTACCTATCGATGGGATAAAACTTGGTACCTCTAGGTTTCGTAAAAAGGAGAACAAACTATACCTAGCAAAGTGTTGACTTGTTTTAAAACTATAGCTAATTCACATTACATTATTAATATTATTATTTAATAAAACTCATTCTACCCTATTTCTCATGGCTTTAATTAATATACAACATTAGACGTCTTGCGACCAATTTAAAATCTGTCTTTTATAGAAAAAAGTACATGGAAATATTTTACCAACTCGGCACTTTAACGATTTTCGATTGATCCGTTTAACGATTATCGATATCTATCGAGATACGATTATCGATTATGTATCGATAATCGTTATAGACGATAGTTGATTTTAAAAAGGCTGTGAAAATATGTATATGGATCAACGTCAGAGGTGAACTTTGTAAATATAGGTAAAGGCTGAAATTTAAAAGACGGGACAAACTTAAGGTTTTCTACTAAAAGTTTGATTAGTGATTCGTTCAAAAGCTAATAATAATGATCGTAGCCATTGTCATTCTTATTTTTTGTCCCGTATTTTAAATTTCAACCTCTTGTCTTTTTAAATACTAATTCTAATTACAACATTTGTGATACGAATCAGCGTTTAGCGCGGAAGGCAATAAGTACAGACTATGGAAAATACTAGCTTATTTAAATATTTCTAGGACATTATTTATTGCTTTTGGCGTTTACAACAATTCGCTTGCATTAAAATATAGGCATAGGTATGTATGTAATAATAATAATATTAAAATATGTTTTGTAAGTTACAGTACCAGATGATATTGACTAACGACCAGATTTAATATTTATCTAGTAGATTTGGTAACTAGAAATATATTTTTTACACTAATCTTGATACATAGAATATTGCAACTGGCCGTAACATGAGCAGTGATGGACATTTTTTTGTGACGCTGTTTCTATCTTGTATTGAAGTTGTAAGATGATCGGCGATTCTCAATAAGCTATCTGTCGGCAGATTTGCTTTGTCACATTCTTAAATTCATATTTTAGTGGCAACATTTACCGAAAAATAGGTTAATGAGAATATCCCTTGCATTAAGTTTGCACTGTACTATTGCAAGTACCTTCCCCTTGCAACATTCAAGACAGTTCTTCATTACTAGTTATGAGATTCGAGATACTTATTCCAAGTGCCCACGTTAATAATAATAATTCTATCATCAGGTACCGTACACATATCTTAAAGCTGCGTTATAGTGTATGAACTATGTCGTTGTCGTTTCGCCGGACTGGCGTTCACAATGACTCCTGGAGTGGAGGAGGGCCGACTGTCCTGGCTTGTGACACTGCTGGGAGAGGTCAAGTGAGGAGAGGAAGCCGCTGACATACTTTTAGGAGTCCCTCCCTTCTTCATAAATGTCACTACAGAGTTGAGTAACGAATTCGGTAAAGCCACCGGAGTCAGTCGGCCTCCACCACTCGCTATGTACGTTTGTAACATTTTCTTAGCAGGAGATTTAGGGTCATTGACCGTGAGTACGACTAGGGATCCATTTTCTATATTTGAAGGCACTACCGGTGAAGGAGTTGGTTGCTTTTCGGGCGTTTTGCCCATAGACTTAGGGTCTATTTTTGTAAGTGTTGCCATATCCAAGTGTGGTTGTGAAGGTGTGACGTTAACTCGTGTAGTTTCTTGAGAGATTGTGTACTTTGAAGGGCTGTCCAGTCTCGGTCGCCCCCTTTTACCTTTGGTTTCCTTCGCTTTTTCTTTCGCCTCGTGATGGCGGAGTATAACTTGATCTGCCGTGAGAGTGACTGATGTATCCGGGAATATTGAGGACTCCAATGCTTTTGTACCGTGACCTGTAGAAGAATAGTACAACGCGATTAATAGGTATTAGACATTTTCAGCATCTCCATACATTTAATACGAAGTTTTGGATTGTTCTGAGTTTACGGCAATAGGATTATTTATTTGCACAATGTACATATGTGTATATAGAAGCACATATTAAATGGGATTGTAAACTGATTACACTAGTATTTCACATCTCTCCAAGAATAATATTAACTTTTTATAGAAATAATTTACTACAAATAAAAACTTCTTTCATAATTATCATGCAAGCTCACCTTCATCCAATTCACCAACTTCTGCATGCAAGATTATTGATCAAATATTAAGTTTTGAAATTCAATTTACATTTAGTGACAATAATTTAGAGTTAGGTGGGAGAATGGATGAAAGCAGGATTAGAAAAGGGATGTTTTGTGGTAATGTGTGGTTGCAATAGGAGAACATTATATTATATACCTTATTTTAAATAAGTTATGTCTCGAAATTGGCAACGGCAAAATGCGGTAGCTAAGTAGTGAATTTCTTTTAAAGATTGTTAACCCTATACTTTTTCAATTAAGGTTGAAAATGCAATCTATGATTTATCAAACGATTTGTCATAACCATTCGAGACTTCCAGCCCAAACCAAATACAGACTACATTAAATAAGCAAAAGACGTAAGGATGAAATTGAAACTTCAGTGTTATGTAGAAAATAATCACGATTCGTCAATGGATTAATCAACTGACTGTTGCATAATGATTTGCCGTTTCGATTCAAGCATGGAATAACTTATTAGTGCGATACATAGCCTTAAGGAAACAATCACAATGTAAACATCAATTTGAGGGAGCGAAAAACAGTTATTTCGTATGTGGATCGAGCTTTCAATACGTTGCACACCAGCCTTTTGGCCAATCATATTTTAAGAATAACATATAACTTTGATATTATAGAAATCAAATAATAAAAAACAATACTGACTCATCCTTATCTTCAGGTCGCGTGCTTCACGGCGTCGTTGTTGGTTCTCCTTGGTACGTTTGTTGAGTTCGGCTTTGTCTCTAGCGGCACGTATCTCGGCCTCCTTGCGTTCTGCTTGGAACTCATCCTCCAGTCGACTAGCGTCCCATTTCACTGTAGTACGGAGCGCCTTGTCCACTTGTGCCATGTTCATACGTTCTTCTTTTTTGAACTGTGAATAGTAATGTTACAGTTATCAAATTGTGGTTATAGCATGGTACCAAGATTCAATGGTAGATGGCGCTGTATACAATATTTAACTTTGTACATATAAGTCAATGTAATCCTGTATCACGCAAGCGAAGTTTGCTCATGATTTAAGATGGAAACAATTTCTTAATGTATATCAGATAGGCAGAAGCCCGTCGGGCATGACTATATCGCTTGGATAGAGGATCCTTTTACGATCTTACGGAACTTTACACTCTGTTCCCTATTAGCCTGAGGAATCGATATGGCTCGGTTGCTAGATTTATTGAAATTTGAGCTTTCGAAATCTCTCCCTCATCTGTAATTTAAAATTCACAATGGTTAGGCCAGCCAGTCATTTTAAGCGTGGCTCTCCTCTCTCACATATCATGAATAATGACAGTCAGTAATTTTAGTCACTGTGATATTGTAAAAGTAATTGTACAATGTGTGTAGTACTGTTTCTTATCCAGAAACTTTCTTTCAAGACAATACAAATTATTGCAACCTTTTTAATAACAAAATTATGTTCACACAAAAGTAGTCTCTAAACTTTGGAAATAAGGTTCATAAGGGAGCGGATAGAGAAGACACTGTCCTTTTATGGATTTAGACGTAATACTACGTACTTTAAGCTTCAAATCCCTTCTCGTTCGTCCAGGAAAGAGCCTCTCCATCAGCATAAAGTCGGTCCCCATGGCGGCGAGTGCCCTGTAGAAGCGTACAGTCTCGGCGTCGCTCCAGTCCGCGGTGCGCGGCGTGCGCCGGTAGCGCCCGCTACTACTGCCAGTAGCCCACGCACCTTCGTGGACCACGTTCTGGGATACCTTGCGTTTCTGGGATTGTTTTATTACCTGGAATAAGTAAAGAATAGTTTCAGTGAGTAGTGGATGTGGATTGAATATTAGTCATTTAGTAGATACACCTACAAAACAAAACCAATATTTTTTTATGGGATAAGCCGGTAAATGACCGGACGGATCACCCGACAGTAAGCAATCGGCGTCGCCAATTGACACTCGGAACACCAAGTGCGTTACCGGCTTTTTGGGCGCTTGTGAAGGATAAACTAATGTCTCTTCTATGACTGTAGGGGTTAAAATTGAAATATTGAATAGTTTGATATTCGTAAGAGATCGTAGTTCTTAATACCACTCTTGGTGTGTGCAGTGTGACAAATAAAGAATAATTAGGTACCTAACCCATATAGTACAGTTCTATGGGATCTCAAATAGGGTAGACGACTAATTTTTATTTTAATGTCCGTCTGGTAGATTATTTAAAAACATTAGACACGTATTTTTTATTTTCTCACAGAAACGAATAGTTTCGAAGATATATTGATTTGAAATGTCGCGTGACGTCACTTCTCAGTACATTTTATACTAAGAAATGACGTTTTAGCCCCCACTCCTAAACTTTGATTCGTTTTATCTAAGTATTGTTTTATTATACGACAAAATAAAAAAATATGTGTCTAATATTTTTTCATTACCTAACTTACGGACTAATTATATTTTTAATTTTCATACCCTGTCATCATCCCCATTCAAAATCATTTATTTGCAAGAAATACATATTTTACAAAATCGATTGATCAGTTGCAGGTATTAAAACTTTGTAATAATATGTAGGCCAAAACCCACGTAACGTTATGTATGTCTATTTAAGTGTTACTGTTCTATTCAAATCTAAATCGGGCCGCCGGTAGAGGGCGCTCTAGACGGACATATACAGACTAGATTCGCGATATATTAAAGAAAGGCCAAATTAAAAGTACCCTTTACCGACGAGCATGCATGAAAAGATTGATGACTTTTGATGAAGTGACAGAGGTATGTAGGAATTATAGCAATTGGCGTTCTATAGTCTCTGCCTACCCCCATGGGAAACAGGCGTGAAGTTATATGTATGTATATTTCCATCTCCCTTACCAGACTCTGTTCATCCAGCATGATCTCTCCATTAGGTCCCAGTTTGATCTGTGGCACGGGCGCAGCGTCCTGTTCCGGTTCGTCGTCCTCCTTGTCCTCGGCCTGCTTGGCATTGCGAGCCGCTTCCTCTTTCTCATTCAGTTTCTTTGCTTCTATTTCATCGTCGTCTGGCCTGTGAAATAATTACCGATATTTGGATTAATAGCTTTTTGACTAATTTAATACAAAGTTATGTTTGTTCCCCAATCTTACACAGGGGATTTGAAGCATCGTTTGATATGAATAAGCCAGCTCACACACGGCCACGGTAACCACTTACCATCAGGTGGGCCGTGTGCATTACTTGTCACCGTCGTGTTATAGAAACGTCGTAGTGATACAATGGCGTAACAGAAACCCAGCGTGAAACAACGCTTGTGTGGTGTTGCCACGCAAACCCTCAGGTGACCTGTCTGCTCGTTTGACGTCCTACCCGATAAAGAAGTAGGTAATAATAAGGCTTTTGTAGTTCTAAACTGATTTATTGTATCAAATGTAACTACATTCCTATGACCATTTACTTTTTTAGTAAGTAAACTAGCTGCTTCCACTCGGCTTCACTCGCTCCGCTCGGCCCCTACTGGTCGTAGCGAAGCCCATAGCTTTTCTCGATAAATGGACTATTCAACACAAAAAGAATTATTTAAATCAGACCAGTAGTTCCGGAGATAAGCGAGTTCAAACAAACAAACAAACTCATCATATTTATAATACGGTAATTTAGTCTACATGAGAAAAAATTTAAAAGTATATTACAATGATTGTTTAGAAGCGAAACAATCGGGAAATGTTAGTTTCACTTCATATGGTACTTAAATATTTTTTTTATTGCAGCTTAAATTTTTTTTTATCTGTCTTTGAAATGTCGCCGCCCTGCTAATGACGTCATTACAGTAAACAAACGTGTCAGCTGGCATTGTACTAAGACAAGTGTGTATTACTGTTAGCTGCAGTTTACTGAATGAATACTGACGTAATGACGTCACGACTACAAAACAAACGCGAAAGCGTGGCAAACAGCGGATGCCATGCTGTTTGCCGCGATTTCGTGAAATACGTGCGAAATTTGAAATTATGATAAATAATTAATTTATATTTGTACATAACGCGGAGAAAAAAAAATTTTAGAAGAATATTAGGCTATAAAATTTATTTTAGATACATTTCAAAAATGCATGTAATAGCCTATTATATTATAATAAGTATAAGATATTTTCATAACAATAATAGTGTTGCAGGCGTACATAGGCCACGGTAACCGCTTACCATCAGGTGGGCCGTGTGCTTTTTTGCCACCGTCGTGGTATATAAAAAAAAAAAGTGTAACATACTCACACAATAGGGTTGGTGGTGGGGTTGTAGAAGATTAGGTCGTACATAGTGAGCGTGTCCTTCTTGACTGCCTCGCGGCGCCGGCGCATTGCTGCCATGCGACGTGACATATCCAGGCGACGGGTTCTGCAATAATATGTTAATGCATAGTTAATATGCTATTAACAAAAGTAAGAAAATACTTTACTATCTTTTAAGTAACTTTTATTATCTTTTTTAATTATTATTTTTCCATAAAATAAAGATAAAACTATAGGGCGGATTAAGAAAAGCAATTTTTCAGTTATATCACGAAAAATGAAACATTTTGTAAATGTATTTGATGAATAATGACACTTTAGGCTTGCTAGTAAAATTACTTGAATGTAAGAAAATTATTGACTGCACGGTTGGTGCGGTGGCTGGGCAACCGGCTGCCGTGCAACGTGTCGCGGGTTCGATTCCCGCACGGAACATCCACAAATTGTTGTTTCGGGTCTGGGTGTCATGTGTATGTGAACTTTTATGTTTGTAAACGCACCCACGACACAAGAGATAACCCTAGTGTGGGGCAACGATTTTCTTTAACAGAAAAAAAAATGATTTTCGAGAATGGATTACAAATTATATTACTTTAATGGAGTATTATGATATATGCCAAGGTAAACACAAGTAGCACTTATTAACAAATTGATAAGATATTCTAGTAGTTTTACCAGCAAGCCTAAAGTGTCATTTATTCATCAAATACATTTACAAAATGTACCTACTTCAAGAATTCTCTTCAGTTCCTCGACATACTTTGAAATAGTGCATTTTTCACTATAATTAGTACTACAGAGAATCCTATAAGTGGATTTGAACGCTAGAGTATTAAGCTGTTTATTAAAAGAAAATAAATTCACTGGTAACCATGACATTCTAATCATGCATAGTTACGGAGCAACGGAGGACTTAATGGGTTATGAAGGGTTCCGGGTCGAAGTGCAGGAGTAGGAACAGGGTGGTTTTTAGTCAGTAAGAGTCTGACACTCCCTCTCGTCTCATCCGAGCGGGAGAAGGCATTGGATGATTTTCTTAATATTTTTTTTTTATAAATAATAGTAGTAAAAAAGGTAACATACTTGGATACTTGTTTCTCTTTGGTTGGTGAAGTGGCGGTCGGTGGCTGTGTGGCAGTAGTTAGTTGGCTGACTGAGGAGCACACTGAATCTTGTCTGATGCGGTTTATTTCTCTGTAACAAATTGTAACTTTTCATAGAAAAATTGTGAAAAATGTTCCCTAATACTATGACTTTCTCTGGTGTAGTGACACTGTTTATAAAGAAATTGATCTTTTACGAACTGATATAAAAAAATATCAAAAAATATGCATTGTTTTTTGGTAGAACCGAATCAGTGGCAAATTGCACAGTAGCTTACTTAGATGGTAAACTTACAACCATTTACCATTTTAAATGCGGTTTAAATTTTATCAGCTCAAAACTTTAAAACTGAAATATACAAGAATCTTCAAAAAGTAGAATTTCATTTAAAATTTACTTGTTGGGTGTAGGTAGCACTGGCTGTGGAGTGTGTGTCTCACTGCGCTCGCGCTGACGTGACGGTGGGGCCGGAGTGGACGTACCACCACTGCTTAGTAAGGCGCGACGACTCTCATCTTCCGATTCTGATGCACTGCCCTGAAATATACAAATAAAATATGTCTAAATAAGGTTAAGAAAAAACAATAACTTTGATGAACATGACTCGACTCTTAAATAGACAAAAGCCTAGAATGAAATTATTTAATAATTCTATTGTTGTTGAACATGTAATGTATGGCTTAAACATAACATACTATTCCAACATGTCAAATAAATAGGTGTAATGGTTACATTTTCAACTTTATCACAAATTATCAAAGCTGAAAATCAAATAATGAAATAATAGACTGGAGTAAGCTGTCCTGCAGGGGTTCATACATCTGTTTAAACATTACAATATCAAAAAATAGAATAAATGTGAAAGTTTGTTTGATATCTGTTCATGCTTTATGTACTCTTATAGATCTTGAAATTTGACGCGTGCATGTGCAAGAGTACATGTAGTAAGTCAATATAATAATAAATGACTATACCTATGGTCGGATGCCAGGCGCCGCAGAGCTGGAGACATTCATCAAAAGAAGAGAGCCTTTAAACGGGGTGCCAAATCATGCAAAAAGGCATTACTGATGGCTCGATTGAACCACATTGGCCGTACAGGGAACAAACTAGCTATTCTTACCCAGCGGGTAATAAAGCATTTTGGTCCCTGGCCGAGGCGGTTGAATCGAACTTCTGTCGCCCCTCACTTCCTCCGCTCCTGAGGTTTGACGGGACGCTGGCTCACACTGCGGTAGAGAAAGCGAACCTATTTGCTTCTCAGTTCGCGGACTCTTCGCGTCTTGATACTAGTGGCGCCTCGCCTTCTTCTATTAATAGCGTATGCGAGACGAACATGTCGCAAATTCGCATACGACAGAAGGAGGTATATAGGACGCTGCGCTATTTCGACGTGAACAAGGCCAGTGGTCCCGACGAAATCCCAGCCGTGGTTTTAAAAACCTGTGCGCCTGAGTTGTTTCCAATCCTGACACGTCTGTTTCGCCTTTCCTTGGAGACTGATCTAGTGCCGGTTACATGGAAGCTGGCCAACTGGCTGGTATAGCCTGAGCCCAAAAGGTAGTTGCCGACCCTAACAATTACCACCCTATTTCGGTCACGTCCATACTCTGCAAGAACATGGAACGTGTACTTAACAATGACTCCTGGCATACCTTGAATGTAACGATCTCCCCGGCGATCGGCAATACGGGTTTCGACGTAACCGTGGACGTACCTACTATGGACCTTCTTGCGTATGCCACTGACATTTAGAGCGAGGCCATCGAGGGGTACGGGGAGGAATTGGCAGTCTCCCTCGATATTTCGAAGGCCTTTGACAGACTATGGCACGACAGTCTAATCGGCAAGCTTCCTGCATATAGACTTCCTGCTGATCTGTGCAGATGGATAGCAGACTTCCTGAGGGATCGGTCAATGCCAACTTGGTCAAGTTCAACGCTAGCAAAACCCAGGCGTGTCTATTCTCCGCCAAATGGAGTCAATTTCCGCTGACTCCTACTTTCCGGAATGTATCCGTACCGATCTCTGATTATCTTGAGCTTCTTAGAGTAACTCTGACCTCTGTCCTGCATGGAGTACTGCTCTTATCTTTTGGACGGCTCGGCTAAATATCAGCTGGACGCATTAGAGCACATTAAGAGACGTGCCGAGAGGCTCATCAACGATGATGCGCGTGTGGAGGCCCGCCTTCAAACCCTCGAACACAGGCGTAAGGTTGCAAGCCTTTCGGTTTTCTACCGGATACATTTCGATGAGTGTGCAGGAGAATTGCACAACTTGATTCCCCCTAGTCCTTTCCATCATCGTACCACAAGACAATCGACGAAGCGTCACCCATGGTACATATCCCACCCATACACACTAAGCGCTTCGCATCAAGCTTCCTTGTGCTTACTACTAAGGAGTGGAATTCTTTTTTGCCAAAGTCTGTATTCCCTGAAGGGTATGACCTAGGTGACTTCAAGGCCCGAGTGAATAGGTTGCTTATGGGATGACGTGGTCCACCACAGACCACATCATTGCTTACCACCAGGGGAGATAGTGGTCAAACGTCGGCCCATCAAATATAAAAAAAACATAATACCTGCACACTATTTCTTCTCAAAGGCGCTAGTCTGGGGACTGGACGAAGCTTCTGCCGTACTTTGCTCGGTGAGGGCAATGGCACAATAGGGTCGAATGAGACTTCCACATTTTCCGATATAATCTCATTTTTCAAGAGGGCCAAGGGTTTGGGACCACTACTTGAGAGTGATTGGAGAGGTACAATACCATCCATAACTGTGTCTTCGGTAATACTTTCGGGTACGCTTGGGACATTGTAGTCTGAAATGTATAAAATAATGTTGTGTAACTACAGATAATTTTTTAATTAATATATTTATTATACAGAGTGTAAACAGAAAGCTTCCAAAAGATGAAAACAGGTAAACACCTAGCTTTATTTAAAAAAGGTAATTAATCAAATGTTTCTTTTATGCAATATTAGTTAAAATGCTGAAGCCTAATGTTGCATCTTCGGAAACTTTTTACACTCTGTAAAGACTGGCTACTAATAAATGGCAAAGGAAATCAAGTTTATTCCTAGAAGAGGTGTTTCTATCATAATTTTATATTGTGAAACAAATATTTATATTGGTACATCTACAACTTAAGAGTAGTTGAACTACTCCATTAATCAGTATATCCTTTGTCAGGATCCAAATTATGTAAACTTGTAAATGTATTGTTACTTAAAAAAAGTAAACAATCATAAATAAGGTACACTTAAAAAAGCAGCCAGTATTAAAACCATTCTTTGCTGCCACAGAAAAAACAATATAGATAAAAAAATACTACATACCGTCTGGAACATCAGAAGCAACATTAGAGGTACTTGCATCCTTACTACCTCTTTTCCTTCTACTACTAGTAGTGCTAGTTTCACTCTCCACAATTTTATTCCCATCAAGTTTATATATTCTAGCAACTTTCTCAGGAGTCAAAGGAGTTACTCTTTGTACACTGACTGAGGTATGGACTAGAGGAGAAGGAGTAAGCTTCCTAAATGGACTCGCTACTCGCTTCGGCGACACAAACACACTTGATTTTGCACTATTTACACTCGTTATCACAGATACTTTTGCCGCCTTCTTTGGCGTAAGAGCTGCTTCTTTTGTTACTTCAGCCTGAACTAGAGGCGATGGCACTCGTTCCTGTTGTCTTAAAACATTCCCAGAGCGCGGAGACCTCAGTGGAGATCCAGGCTTCGGCGATTGCCTGTCAATGCTATCTTGACTTTTTAAAGAACCGCGTGGCGTTCTAGGGCTTTTAATCGGTTTCTCAGCTGCTTCCTTAACAGGTTCGTTGGCTTTGTCTGCAGCCTCGTTATTCTTTCTTCGAGGCGGTAAAGAAATAACAGCTTTGACTCTTGCTCGTCTTGTAGACATTTTGGTAATTAGTATTCACTCAACAAATGTATAAATACCGACAGGTATTCCGTCTTCACACATCTATTGTAAACGTCCTTTTCTCAATATTTTACACGTAACAATTGTTTATAGTTGTATAAAACTACAATACAAAATATATAATTTACGAGCCATAACAAGCACCATGCACGCACGATCAAAATATTGAACAACAGAGATGGTCGCAAATTCGCAAGGTCGTAAAAAAAACATTAATACATTTTGACAGTGACGTTTAGTTCTGTATTGCCAGTTTTTGAAGTACCTATATTCTTCTTACCAAAATAATTTTAAAAAACTACGAGCCCATGTTGTCTTTTTTACAGACTTACAATAGATAAGCAGACCAAACATTAACTTCTAGTTATACGTATAATTATGATATTCATGATTCTTTATCCTTGTTCTGTCAAGCACCAACCTAATAATTGCGTCTCGTTCGTTCTTTTACCTGTAGCCACACACACATAGACAAATATATAAATATATTTTTTGTCTTTAAAAAAAACAGTGAAAAAACGTTGACCCATACTAGGATTTTCTCTTGTGTCGTGGGTGCGTTTCATACACATCACATCCAGACCCGAAACAACAATTTGTGGATCACACAAAGTGTTGTTCCGTGCGGGAATCGAACCCGCGACACGTTGCATGGCAGCCGGTTTCCCAACCAACCACCAATTGACAAGTAGCCAGCTTTACCGTGCCGCCATATTAATTAATATGTTTTTACCTACAACTGTGCCAATCTCGTTATAAAAGAAATTTTAATTGTTTAAACCATTAAATGTTTTAAGACAATACCTGGAAGAACTTTTCGGGCCGTACGCTCGGATAAATTTTAACAGGATAGGACAAGGAAAGAACTTGTCTTGGGAGTGGTTAGTGTTTTTGAGGGGAGATGACAATTACCTGATATACTTAACCATAACAAGTCCCATAAAATAAAAAATATGATTCTCCCATCAATGTGTTTAATTTGAAAAAGCAATCTTTTATGCATTTTCTGTATTATTATGTGGATATTAAAATTATTTAATATGTAGCACATAACATCACGCCTTTTATCCTCGAAAGGGTAGGCAGATGTGCACATTATACCACTGTACAATGTAACACCCACTTTTCACTATTTATGTTATGAGTCCCATGTAATAGGGGGTGACCCCTTTCCCGGCAGTCTTGCGACTTGCGAATTTGCGATCACTCGGCCAATGAGGCAGTCTCCCATTAGAAGTCTCGACAATATAAAGATAGAAATCAATCGCCAACTTGTTTCAATTAACGATTTTCGATTTTTATACATCACAAAAATTGTTTCTATCAGGGTTGTGACTATCAAACCCAATTCTTTTAAAGTTTTGGTGCATTCGATTCGTGGGTAAACGATTGGCAAAACGATTTTAGCATTTTCAGTGACACCACTGAATCGATTTTATCCTTACAACAGGTTTCGTAATATAACTAATATAGAAGGCTTGAATGCTACCTACTCCCTCGAATACCTTTACTTTTATTCACAAGGAATTTCTTTGAGAGTCGTAACATAACTGGCTTAAACATTACTGGGTTTAATATGTCGTTGATGTACCTAGTTGTCGCAGGTGTAACCGTCGAGCAATAGGTTTCAGGTTTGATTATCGAGATCCTCATGACAGTTATGGAGTGATTGGTAGGTATATTTTAGGGTAAAATAAAGTCAGAGATTCAAACAACAGGGCGGATTTCTTCATTCTTTAATGCATTTTTTCTCTAATTTTCTTGACAGCGATGAGCACTTTTGGTGACAATAGTTACCAGAAATCATTAAAATATGTAACAAATAACAGTTCAGATTAAAAAGAAATAAATTTTATATAGGTTCTTTACTTACATCCAGTAGATCAACTTCACAATAAAAATAGATCTCTTCTATAAAATTTATATAATTTACAAAAGCGGTAATGTTAGGTAGATAAAACAACAACAAATAAATGCTTCTGGGAATGAAACGCAATAATATATTCTCTTTGTAGATAAATTGACAGATAGTCACTCTGCTAAGACCAATGTATTGTATAAATATCTTACGAGTACAAAGTATGTATTGGTGTTAGTCGCCAAAACTGAGAACTAGGCTGCGTTCATCTACAAGTAAGCTACTGCGTATTGGTTCGTCATTCATTACCTATATTTTGGCTAAAAAGTCAACATTTGCAAAACCATCTTTACAAATTGTCATGACACTATAAGAATTAGTCAACGATGATTCGTGCCAAAGGTTGCGACGCCGGCGCGGCCGTCGGCTCGGCGACAAAAACTAAGTCGGACTGAGCCTCGCTAGGATATGTTGCTCATTATAATTATAATACCTAAGTTAGGCTACAGTTATTCAAATGTATAAGCGTTTGCAGTAAGCCATTGTAATTGCCAGAAGTAACTAAAGTGGCTATCGAAGGAGTCAAACGATAGATAAGTTCCAAGTGAGAGATCATGTGTCATGCACGTAACTGTCTATCTACTGGTCCATCTACGAGTCGCCGAGCCGGCAGCCGCGGGGCTCGCGCAGCCGACCGCTGCTCTATCACATAATGTAATTCGTCCGAATTTGTTAACGCTCCGGCCTACTTATTCCTACGAAATGATCACTATCGACAATAAATTATTTTCACCTACAATTAAAACAAGGTATGAAGTGTAGTAGTGCATCGAGAACCGAGACGTCCATCGCGCAATGCGAGCGCTCGGATTAATTGACTGGACCGCTCGAACGAACGCCCGCTAACACTCCGCTCACACGACCCGCGCTAAGGCAAATCCTCGATATTACAATATTTACATACAGAAACGACTCTCAAAAGATTCGAAGCGCTACTGATCCACCTCTACTTAAGAAACTGAGAGAATTGTTTGCGCTAATTATGCCGATTATCGGTAAATACTACTTATAATTAAATGAAGAAAGCAACCGTGTGCTATTGGAATCGCGCGTGAGGCTCTGTTCAGTTGTGCGTCGCTTGTGCAGCGGAGGCCCGGCCTGCGCCCTCGCGCCTCGCCTGGCTCCACTCGTACCCTCCCACGACCCAACGTTACAATAAACAGCTTCCAATATAATAATCTCTGAATCGTGATAATCAGGAACGTTTATATACTTTCATACTTAACTTCGCGATCGAATATTCCGCATCAACAATAGAGGTCTATTTCATACGCCAACAAAGCATAAAATAGTGATATCTTTACATTTCAGTCTAGTCTATATAATTATTTTCTCTTTTAATGGCAAGGTATCTCTATAAAGATTCAATAGTATCATTCTTCAATATATAACAGGTATATCTATACAATCGGAATACGTCACGTATTCTTCGATTCCTCACAGCGTCAATGATATAAAATTTAACCTAAATTATAACACAGGAGAATTAAGTATAAGATCACAAAATGAGATTCAACGGGCGGCGCGGAGTCCGCCCGGCGAAGTCGCAGCTATAATACTCGTGTCTACGCTACAACTAGCGAGCGTGCCGCGGGACGCTCGCACTAAGCCTAGTATTGCTATGTCGCACTAGCACAGCGTGCGGCGTCAGGGCGCGATGCCCGCGTCCGACTTGTGGAAGGCGGCGGCCGCGGACGACAGCGGCGCGGCGGCGCTGAAGTCGTGCTCCGACTTGGGCCGCGGCAGCGCCACGCCCGCCACGCCCAGCCCCGGCAGCGCCACGCCCGCCATGCGACACGACGCCGCCTGCAGCGGCTGCAGCGCCAGCCCCAGCGAGCGCTCCGACAGCCGCGCCACGCTGTCGTCCGACAGGCTCACGTGCTCGGCCTCGGCCGCCAGCGCGTTCACCACGGCGTTGATGGTGTTGCCTTCCGACGTCGTGTCGTCCTCCCGGTGCGCCACGAGGTTGGGGTTCTTCCCTATCTTGTTTAGTCGTTCCGCCGCCACACTCTCCATGGTCCGTCGCATGAGCGGGTACTGGTCGAGCACAGCGTTGAAGTGGTCCACTGATAGGGAGAATAAATTGCAGTACGTCTCGGCGCGGACGGAGGCCACTCTACGAGCGTTCGTTAGGAGACAGATTTCACCAAAGTAGGAACCGTCTGACAAACTCGTGGCCACTTCACCGTTGGCCATGACGATGTCCACGATGCCTTCTTGTATGAAATACATTTTGCTCCCGATTGTTCCTTCCTTAATGATGATATCACCTGAAATCAGATAAGTATATTCTTTAGTATCTTATATGAATTTACGCACGTAGGAATATTGTTTAATTTTTGGACTACTTTTATTGCTTACATATTGAAGTTAGAAAATGTAAATAGAAATGTCCAAACAAGTAAAAGTAACTCACCAGGTTGGAAGACTTCGTAACGTAGTTTGGTCACAACGTCGGACACGAAGTTTGAGTCGGCGTTGGCAAAGAATGGCACAGAGGCGACGAGTGATCGGCAGTTGTAGTTGATAACGTCCTCCCGCAGCTTCTCGCTCAGCTCGCCCAGGATCAGCTCCTCGTCGAAGAACTTGCCCTGGTAGCGGTGCTCGAAGTACTCCGTGATTCGTTGACGCATCTCTCGAGGCAGCTTGCGGTACGCCATGTACTCCTCCACTTGTTTCACCTAGAATACGTACACAACAAGCTATAGAACATGACGAAATGGAACTTTGCTGACCACACACGGCTGTAGCAAAAAATCGCATGCATCTTCGAACACCACTGACTGTTAGCGACAAGTTCACTTTACACTGAAGTACAAACTACACACCTGCAAACAACCGACTCTTCAACAATACACAGTAAATACACCCTAACGAACAGAGTCCAGTGATTAGTACCCATGGAAGTAAACAGTTATGAACACCCGTTAATATTTGTGAAATGTACGAAATGATGACTTTTGTTATTTTGATGGAGACATGAGTATTGGTGCAAATGATTGATTCTGTATAACAACCAGTGAAACACTAAACAAACATTCTCTTTGTACTCACGTCTAATCTCTGAAACAGGCAATGAACGCTTTAGTGATCGATTTATTAGATGGGGACATTACACAGAATATTTAGTAAAACACATGCATGTACGATTCTGATGCAATGGTATACTTTGATACTGGGTATGGTGGTTACAATACAATATCATTGTCAGAAGTTCTAATACCGAAATTTCAACCGAATAATATCCTTTAAAGTTGTGTTTGCGCAGGTGTTCATAACAATTTATCTTCGATATTTAGGAAAGGAGTTAAGAAAACATTACAAATACTGATGATTTGCTGTACATCTATGAAAGAGGTTACCAATAACACGGATGCCAAGAAAAGTATGCAAGGTTACCTTTTCTCGGTACTGTCTTCGTGAGGAGTCAAGACTCTGAATGAGATTGGTGGCGTGACCCAGGAACAAGGCGTAGCAAGTGGCTCCGGAGATCATGGAGAGCATGGTGAGCCACATGTCTGTGAGCGACTGCGGTGGGAAGCGGCCGTAACCGATGCACAGCATATGTGACATGGCCTTGAACAGCGCCCACGAGTACTGTTCTAACCAAAACGCTTCCTGGAATTGAAGACGTCAATTGTTAATTTATGAATTCAAATAAATCTGTGTCTTTAAGCTTGTTTGTAGACTATTCTATCATCTAGTTGTACTGATTTAGCTTTCATCATCGTTTATATGACTTCTTAAACTCTCAAAACTACCTACATTTGTTACTATAATATAATCTACTAGCCGTTTCTATCCTTCAGTTGTTGGAAACATGTTATAAATGTTTTCGAAGGGTTGATCTCTCCCTAGATGGCAAGACGGTGCTTTGTGAAAAGCACAAACCCAATTACCTTTGTTATTTGTGCGGCACTGTTCCAATAGGGTACACGGTTGACTATGTTTTACAAAGAAAGAATAAAGAGCTTTCACAACGTGGATAAACTTATGGTTAAAGGTTCTTTAAATCCTTAGATTTTGGAAAGTGCAGCCGCCAAAAAAGCGAATAAGTGAAATATATCATCAGTGAGAAGGACAAATCTCTGAAAACTGGGTATTTCAAGTTCTATTATATTTCAAAAATAATACTAACCTGTAGTTCGTTTATTGCAACCCAAGAGTTTGGTGGGAATCCTTGTAGCATAGGAACGAGGAACTGTAGACAACCGGACCAGTGTCCGATCAATAACATCATGCAGATCAAGTTGAATATCCGCATGAAAACGGATGCCATGTTGAGGAACTGGAAAGAGAAGAAAATACATTAGTGAGATCAGCAAGAGAAGTGACGTCGCCTCTAAAGGAAGCCGTGCGGACTGCGCGCGACAAGGACGCTCGAGATCAAGCATCGCGATGATTCTCTACCGATGGAGTCGTAAAGAAGTGAGAAATAAATATGAACGCGTGAGACGAGTCTTCGAGCGAGCATGCGTGGTGGCGGCGTGGTGCTGGTCGCGCGGCCGCGGCCGCCGCACGGTCGCGCGATCGCACCGCTGCGCGCCTCAGCCCGCGCGGCCGCCGGCGGGACGAGGGTTGGAAACAGAAACGCCAAAGAAAGAGAGAAAGCGAAGCGAACGCAGCGGACTAGGACGCCGGGCGGCGCCGCCGGCAACATGCTAAGCGGGCGATCGAGCACATGCGCGCCGGCTCGTGCCGACCCTGGTTACCTTAAAGATTAGATTGCTTTTGGTGTCACCCTTCTTTTTGTTGGCAACGTCGGAGCTGAGACGTCCCCTCCGTTCCGTGCGCTTTTTTTGAAGATTCTGCAAGATCTAGAAAACAAGCGAGAAACACGAGATAGTAGGAAGAGAGCCAGGCGCGCCCGAAGCGCGGAGGGGTCGGCGGGCAAAGGTCGTCGCGAGGTGTGCGGGGCGGGGCTGGGGCGCGTGCAGGCACACACAGGATGCACTAACACCGAGACGAGCGGACGCGGGCTAGTCCCCTACGGATGCGCTAGCGCGCGGCGGGGCATGCTGCACCTGCGAGGCGAGGTCGCGCGAGCCGCCGTCCGCGTCGCCAGGCTCGTCGCGCGGCTGCGGGGCGGGGCTCATCTGCACACAACACCGTCACTGCGATGTCGCCACCACCCTCCCCGTACTCCACTTCTCACTGACTCTCCGCTTCGTTACCGTCGGTAGTATACGCAGGTCGGACGTAACCACTACCTACTCTTTGTGTTGCCAGTTCTAACTTTCTAATGTTATGCAACAGCTTCTGGTAATGATTTGTTTCATTAGCTTCTTATAGTCGAAGTGACGAAGTGTGATTCTCGGAATGCGAGACATTTTTTCCTCTAAAGGTCTACATGTCATTCGGAAACTACGTGCTCACTTTCACCGAACAGGCAGGTATTTGGATCTAGTTGGCGGTTGTTTAGTCGCGTTACTTTACTCATGAAGGTAGGTTATATTCTTATATGACGTTTTTGTAATTAAGTTCATGTTTGCAGAACGTCAGCTTCAGCGCACCAGTTTTACTAGAGGCTTTGAAAAGCGGCAACATAATATTAACATTTCGGCAAATAATATATCATTTTGGCAAGTGTGGGACGGTTCGGGTCGGCGGACACGAGGTACGCGGGCGTCGGTCGCGGCGCGGGCGCAGAAACAAGAGATAGAATTAGACGTCACGAGTGAGAGCGTGCTCAGGCAGAAAGAAGCTTGCAGAGAAGCAGTAGAGAAGTGCAGAGCGGGACGTGGGGCTCACATACAGTGGGGGCGGGATCAATGGTATAATACAGGATTACAACAAAACTCCATTTAACGTCATTAGGATCACTACGCTAAAACAGTTAACATTATTACTCATCATTATCACAACAAATTTCATCAAATCACGTACGACAGTAGCCAATAGTTTCATTCAATGTCATTGACTTCAGACTTGGATATCGGCATCAATTAATCCAATATTATAAAAGTTTTAGTAGCGTATTTAGTCATGTCGTGTTAGTAAATGTGAGCGTAATGTATATTAGAGCAGTGTTAGTGGCAAGTAGTTAGGGGAACCCATAGTATGTGGGTTTGAAGAGCATGATGGCTTACATATACTTCCTCCCATTGTGATACATATCGGACGAGCCTGGAGAGCCGCAACAACCGCACCAGAGATAGAAGTTTTGCTAACCGAAGTATCCTTAGTGCACGACCCGCGTGAAGAATTTGAAAGCTTTCACTAAAGTCCTGTCAACACAAAAACACATCATTGAAATATCACACGATACCTAACTGATGCTCTCAAGTTGAAGGTAGAGCATCGCATTGAGCTGCTATTCCTATTGATTTTATACAGACGAAGTGTCGAACTCATGCATAATTGCAGTATTTGAAAGATTTTGTCAGCCAAAGAAAAGTGCTGAAGCATAATAAACATGTTATAATTATGTTTTGTACATTTACAATTTTAGTAGAGTTTAAGTGGGGAATATTGTCTATTATTAGTGAAAGCTGTATAGTATGTAAGAATAGCTTGTTTCTTCAGTGGCTAGTCTATCATATTAAGCTTCAGTACCGATGCAATTTAAGTTATATAGAGGTCCTCAGAATCTGTCAGTGTAGGCTGTTAAATATTACAATTTGGTCGTGTTGTAGCTGTTATAAGTTAAAAAGAAAATCAAATCAATAATATATACTGTATAAAACTCAAGACATATTATAAATATAATAATAAATAGGAAACGAAAAGTATTCAAAAGTAGTAATCGTTACATTAGGAAGCTTTGAGACCATGCCATAAACAACTTGAAGATAGGAAACCAAATATTAGGAGGTAGAAAGTAGACGACGTGCATGTGACCAATGTAGAGATTAGAATAGGAAATACAACTGTATATACCTAATTACCAAATTATAAAGATGCATAGAAACACCTTCGGAACAATAGAGTGCAATTTAGTGGAAGCGTTTTAGAATTAGCTCGTGCAATAAGTTGGAAAGTGCGCTTAAATATCTTTAAAAGTTTTAGAAAGGATTGAGTATCCCATACGATCACAGATCACATAATCGGATACGTATGTAAGGTCGCTTACACAGCGGGGAATAGAACAATATCGAGAAATCATATGGGTTACTGATGATAAACGTGCAGGTGGATAATCTGAGTGTGTTTAAATTATAAAAATAAAAATAGAACAGAGTTCGATGATAAAATGAAAGTGGTGTGCTTAATCAAACCTTTGCATGTTCTCTTAGACCCTGATAATACAAATACTAAATTGAATACACGATGACGCACAGGTTCTCGTGGCGGTTGGGTAAAAGTTCACAATGAGAAACAAAAACAAAACGGAAACAATAATAACGTATTGTCTAAAAACAAATGAACACCCAAGCTGAAACAGAATATCAACAACATAAAAGACAGTTTAAAACTATAGTAATAAGAACAACACGGCCAAATTGCAACGTACGTTTACCTGATTGAAGATCAAAAATATATAATCTAGTGGTATACTAGAGATGAGGTCAAGGAAGAACCATGTCCTCAAATAGTGCTTCGCTATTAACTTGGGATCTAATATCACTTGTTCTGCATTATCTTGCTGCATTATTCCTGAAAAGATGATAATAAGAGTTTTAGAAATGAAGCCTATATTTACTTTATATTACAGAAATTAGATTACTTAGTAAAGATACCGTACCTGTTCTAAAATTAACAACGATATCTATAAGAAATATGGTGTCGGAAAGACAATTGAAGGCGATCCAGCGCGTGCTGAGGTCATCGTTGAAGAAGGAGATGGCGACAGGCAGGATGATGAGGTTGGCCACGAGCAGTAGTAACATACACAGGTCCCAATAGAATCTGTAGACAAAACAAAAATAGTTATTAGTGATAATGAACAACTAGACAAAATTAGCAATGCCAGAGATATAAATGAGTAAATTGATGAAGAAAATACGATTGAAAGAGTAACTTTGCGTGGAAAGTAACTTAATACTTCATATACTTTTATTAGCTTATAGTATTTGACGAAGCTAAATAAACACCGAAAACGTTTATCTAACTCAAGGGAAATGATTTTCCGTGTCGTGAAATATTTACAGTCTTTAAATTCTGAAAAAAGTTTTATTTTCGATGTTACAGGGAAATGAATTTGTGTACCGACACATGGAATTTGTAGCGTTTGTCATAAAATAGTCAAAGTTTCCAACTGAAGTTGAAGAACATGCCAACTTTCACGTCACAATGGCTATTACTCATAGTTTAGTAAAGTTTTACCATAAAGTTTTTACTTAGGAAGTATTTTGGCATGAATAATTATTGAATGTCGAGGTGAATTTCGGAAGTAACATGAAAATGTTTGGAAGTGTCACTGGTGATAATTTTCATAGATTGGTTTTTTGATTTTAGGTTGTAGATCGGTTATTGGCTTTTAGAGATTTTGTTTTGTAAAATAAATATATCTGGATAAGATTATCGTGCAGTGCAATCATTTCAAGACTGCCAGTGAATAGATTACACATTTTGGTGTGACAAGGAGCTTTGTAATTCCCCAATAGATGGCTAATGAAATACCCCAGACATTTAAGTCTTTCTAAGAAAATACAAGTTCAATGAATCTGTCTCTAAAAAAATCCTTACATCAGTTCCACGAAAATTTCTGTGGTTTGTGTTAATGTATCAGTTAATTCGTTCCACCAGGTGAGTAATGGAGCTGTGGCCATTATATTGTTGTCAGCCGGGGGCGGGCAGGACGGTAGCGTGTTCATAACTACAATTACCTAATTGAGAGGCGATTGAGCCAGCAATTGCTCTTGGTATGATCTCATCTACTGTATTATCTGGCCGCACCTGATGCTGCCCCCCGCGAGCTGTCTAAACTTGATTTTGCTGTGATCTGACGAGTGTTTTACGTTTTAATTTTGTATGTCCTTTTTCACAGCTTATTTTAACAGTCGTAAATATTTTGAGAAAACAAGAATCGGTTGCAAGTTTTCAGCTCAGACCTTGTTTAGGGGTTTAGAGACCTATGTTTATTTAGGACCAACTAGTGCTCATAAATTGTATGTTAAAGTATTGTAAGTTAAAATCAGTTTGCCTCCTTCGCTTTATCATATGTACTTACAAATTCAATAGTGATTCCTTTTATTACTCACTATAAAAACGAGCAGTTTTCTGAGAAGCTTAGTGAGATCGTCAGAAAATCCGTCGGTCGGCCAGTCGGCCGCAGCTTGGAGAAATATGAAGAGGTAAATGACGGCAATTTCCAACAATAAGCTAGAAAAATTACCACAATAACTTTAGTTTTCAAGTGATCCCGACTCCAGAGCACGCTTGGAAAGCCTTTGGAACTTTAATGGAGCGAATGAGTGATACTGATTCTTAAAGAGATGAAAATTACGTTTTGTATTCTAAGTCATTTTTAAATGTTATTTCGTAATGAAGAAATGTGATTGTGCAATCTTCGATTTAGAACTAGGTGGTAAAAGTTGTTAATGTTCTTTTAAATAACTACTTGTGGTCTACTTAAATTAGTTTTCTAATGAGATATTTCTACGATATGACCAGTACAGTCAGTTGCGAAATGGTATACGGAAAATATTATCTATGATTAAATTGAAAATACTGAAATGTACCACTGACCTTTTTACTATTACTAGGTATATACTATAATGTGTAAAAGTGTAATTTTGAAGCCGATGTACTGAATAAATTAATCTTTAGATAGTTTCATTTTGTAGGCTTAAAGGACCGAATGTCTAGAAAAAACAAAGTAACAAACACCAAAGAATTACTTACGTGAATAAATATTTTGTTATGTACAATAAATTCGTTTTATGAAGTGAAGTTTGTTTATGCACGTATGCAAATTAGATACGGTGTCAATGTGCTAAGCGGAATACATACAAATAGTCATACAACATTCTTTTCTTAGTAATTTGACCTTTACCTTGGTCTAATTTTAATTTGTAGTGTTTGGTAGTATAGTACTTACAACGTACTTAATATACGTCATGCAATCATGTGATTTTATAATTCCCTTGCTAATCTTAACTACGAACTAACTTACTTATTTTAAATATAAAAGTGTGTTTGTTTGTACTTCTTTCACGTCACAACGAATTAATTATACGTGTTTAGTATAATATTTGTGTCTGGAAGTACCTATAAATACATTTTAGAGCTCAATATCAGTATATAAGAACTTAAAAGGAACAGTTTATTTACAAGTATTCTTTAGCAAAATAATCGGATTCATCTTGTATTCTAATAATAATAATTGGTTTACTATTTTGATCAATTGGATCACTTCATAAATATATCTTAGGTACCTAAGGTTAATAAAAACTATTAATGTCTTTGTGGTTTTATTTTAAGAACATACACTTACCTACATGTATATTTACCTCTATAGTCCACTTTGTGAGGAAAAATGAATCAAATTTAAAACTTAATTGATTGAAACGATAAATTTAATGCGTCTTATAATTTAACTTATTTTGTCATCATCATGAATAGCGGAAAACATTATTTTTACCGACTTCATTAATTACCGACTTCAAAAAAAGGAGGAGGTACTATGTTCGGCTGATTGTTTTTTTTTTTTTTTTTTTTTTGTTTGTTCGCGCAGTACTCCGCCGTTTGTGGACCGATTTTGAAAATTTTTGTTTTGTTTGAAAGGGTATACTCCCGAGATGGTCCCATTTCTATGAAGTCAGGATCTGATGATGGGATCCTAGGGAAACCGAGGGGAACTTTCGAAAGTTCTATGGGGGAGTAAAGCGTCTATTATGTTTTTCAATTACGAATTTTAAACACTACAATTTGATAAGGGTCTGAAGTCGACCTGATGATGGAGTCGACAGACAGTCGAGGGAACTCCTCAGCGGTTTATATTAACTACCTTGTGTTTGGGCTTGATTAATTTATATTGATGAGGACTTTACACCTAGATAGAGTGGGGCTGTCATTAAGGGTCTGATGATGAAGAAGTGTAATTGTTAAGGGAACTCCTCAACGGTATACAGTAACTACCTTGAGTTTGGGCTTGATTAATTTGTATTGATGAGGACTTTACACCTAGATAGAGTGGGGCTGTCATTAAGGGTCTGATGATGAAGAAGTGTAATTGTTAAGGGAACTCCTCAACGGTACACAGTAACTACCTTGAGTTTGGGCTTGATTAATTTGTATTGATGAGGACTTTGCACCTATGTATATTATAAGTAACAAAACGGGTATATGTAGCTTTACACTGAAAATGGTAAAATAATAAAATAAAAACTGCGTTTAAAAAACCAACTTCAAAAACCAAAAATTAAGACATTAAGTTATATCATTATGATATGAGCTTATGGCACCGACTTCTTACCTATCAGTGGGTGGGTAACCTATCAGTACTAATAATAGTTATTTTTTGCTTTTTAGTATTGACTTTTTGTTTGTTATTTAAATATTAGGTACTGTTGTTTTTATCCAATCGACAGATAACGATTCTTATTTGAAAAGAGGCACTATATACTCTTTCCTCGTAAAGAAATCAGAGGATTTTTTTTAAGGGGGGAAAATCATCGAATGACTGCTCCCGCCTGGGTGAGGCGGGAGGGAGTGTCAGACTCTTACTGACTAAAAACCACTCCGTTCCTTCTCCTGCACGTCGAGCCGGAGCCCCGGTTACCCGTTAGTTTCTCCGCGACAAATCAGAGGAATAGACCCTTTTATATTTCGCGGATTGTTTATGACTATACTTATCCAAAATTAAGACCAACATTCTACTACACAAACAAATAAATAATTTGATCCATATGTTAGAGGAAGAGATAAATACAATGTAAGGGTTGACAGTAAGCGTTAAAGGAATTATGAACATGCATTATCCCATACACTGAATGTTTACACCCCTAACAAAGCTTGTTAGAACAGTACATTGTTTATATACTGAATGCTGTTGACATACAAGATTCATATACAGTCGCTGTTTGCAGTGAAAACTGACAGTAGGTATAATTTATATGTAGAAGCGAAATTGTGAATTTGTGAAATCCGCTTGCTTTAATGTAGGTGCATAATGTTTGTTTGTTTAAATTAGTATCTGCTGTGTAGGTGAAAATTGATGGAGTAGGAAAAGTATGGTAAAAAACAGGAAAGAGTATAGAGTAGCGAGGAGGTTTAATTACCCCCCCTCCTCAATACCCAAATTCCCAACAATCCTCAAATTCCTAATCCCCGAATGGTCGGCAACTTTTGTTTTTTGACGGCAACGAGCACTCGTAACGCCTCTGTTGTTTTGAGTGTCCATGGGTTGCTTCGATTGCTTACCATCAAGTGATCCGCCTGCGCGTTTACCGGCTTATCCCATAAAAGAGTCAGTCTATTACAATATTAGCTCTAATTTTGTTTCTCATTGACAGAATTGATTACACTCATTTGCCATAATCTGTGCAATTTTGTATTACCAATGGGAAGGGAGTAAAAGCATAGTTTCGCGTGCCTTTAAATACTGTGAACATCAATACTTCTATCAGTTTATGTTTTAGGACGATTATAAAATTATACTCTCACAATATCGGCTCATACGGGACGAAAGAAAATAAACGGTGTAGTTAAACCATAGGTTTTCATAACATGTCTTTAAAACAAAAATATAATCATAATCCTTTTCAATTAAACTATAATCGTGTACGTTTCTCACAGAAACGTACCTCATTTATACTACAAACTAAATTGTAGTGTGAAAAATTGTATACTATCTACTTTGTTTATTGACGAAAAGTGTTAATAACTCTTTATACATCTTTCAATTACGCTACTAGCGCGCGAACCGACGTTTCTCAAACTGTTCGCGAGTCTGTGGCTCACACGGGCG